TAACTTGTGTAATTAAAATAACAGTAATTCACCGTTATAGATATAATATTTTTCAAAAATGTTATTAAAAATTAGTTAAATAAGTCGCCCATCAATATGGTAGCGGAATTAAATCAAGGACTACCTCAGGAGAGTACTAGCACCGCTGGTGAATCCCTCGCTGAGCATCCACGACCATACTACTCCACTCCTGAGCGTGGATACTCAGGCTGCCCCGCGTATTCTGGGTGGGGCAAAATTCCGCTCAAAACAATAACTGCTCGGGGCAAACTGAGCAACAAAACCAACACGACCCCTGCCAGACTTCGTGAATTTCTGCAACATCAGGGGACTTCACTCGAACCTAAACACAATCCACTACCATCTCGACGGCGAAGCCGGCCTTGCTCTTTCTGACCGAGACGTAGGTGTCCTCTTCGGCTGATACTTCGTATCCTGCTACCCGGGGTACAAATTTGAACACTCCTTTGTGCCTCGGGCTGAAGTTTACGTATACGTCAGAGAGGACATCTGTTCCCGACGCCTCGGCAGTCTTGAAAGTTCGGACCTGCTCATCCTTTGGCTACGCGTAGACAGCGACGACCATCCGTGCGTCTACGCGTGACTCTATTGGTCCCATAGCGGTAATGCTGAAACAGACAGACTGATCGACCACGTCCAAATGGCTACAGACTCCTTGCTACAACAGGTCCTTCGTGTAACTTCGGGGTACTTCGCGAAGTACCCCGAAGTTACACGAAGTGTCTCTCTACACTACTCGGCTTACGCCAGTTATGAATATATTTTCATATATAAAAATTAAATATGTAGCTTTCTACATAATTATTTATTTAGTTAACGCATTGACGTCGTACTGCTCACACAATTAAGTACCTATAGCAGCTACCTCTTGAACGTCATTCATTTTAACGGTGCGGGAGACTCAAGACGACTGAGCTCTTCGCGAAGTAGCACGAGTGTGTGGTCACGTTCTTCGGACTGCGATCGACTTCGACGAGCACTTCGTCGAAGTTACTTCGCGAGTAGTGTAGAGAAAGCATATGATATAGATGTAGAAGAATTGCATTGACTTAGGCTGGCTTTTCACTATGGGATATAATATTGTTGCGCGCCACTATTAATGTCTTGTACATGGCAACACTAGTTACACTAGCGCCCTCTAGTGTCGAGTAGCAGAACTAGGAGTGTCAAGATCCTTCTAGAAATTTCGGGACCGATATGTATTCGAACATTCTAGATGTCGCTACAGTAGAAGGTTCTGGAAACTATCTGACGCCCTATATAAGGCCGGTATACTCAACGACCGGGGCAGTATTGAATTGGCGATACAAGAGAATACTTCAAAGCGAAATAACGGCGAACTGTGTTTTATTATTAGTGTGATTTTAAGTTGTAATTAGTGTTGTAATTAAAGTGTCAATTTTGGTAATTCAATTGGCACTTTTTAATTGTCTTGATCCCCAAGCTCGTAACAATTGGTGTCAGAAGTGGGATTAAATCATACCGATTTTACCTAAAGACGACACGGAGGGTATTCGTACCCGAAGTCAACGCCAACAGGAGATTGACCAGAGACGATTTGGTGGTGCAACGTCGCAGACGTTGGAGGACCAGCTGCCGGCCCGTCAGCAGCTTCTGCATCTGCAGCACCTGACTTAGTTGCTTTGATGATGATGCTGCAGGAGCAGGCCCGCCGACAGGAGGAACAGACCCGCCAACAGGAGGAACAGGCCCGCAGACAGGAGGAACAGGCCCTTCGGTTGGAAGAGCAGCTGCAGCGCGGTAAGGAAGAGCAGATGCTCCTCACGAAGGACCTTCACGCTACCTACGGGAAAGAGATAAAGGAGGTGAAGGATACGGTTGCTCAACATGACAACCGCCTGTCGGAAGCTGAAACCCGAATCAACCAAGTGAACAGTCGGGTTGACAACGTGATGGTTGACGTGAAGAAAACGCTGGACGACCTCAAAATTGGGGATGGAGTTACAGCTCCCGTGGTAGTGACAACACCTTCGCTACGTGGATTCAAAGTGCCACCGTTCGACGTGACTTCTTCCTGGTCGGCCTACAAAATCCAGTTCGAGGCTGTCATGAAAGCGAACGGCTGGAATAAAAGTCAGGCCATGACTGCTCTCACCATAGGCCTGCGCGACCAGGCCTTAACTGTTCTGGAAGCTCTCGGTAAGGAAGTGACTTACGAGCAGCTCCTTATGGCATTGGAGGCGAGATAGATTGAGACGCTCACCTGGAACACGTCTTTCGTGCGCAGCTCGAAGATCGCGTGCAACGCAGTAACGAAAACCTGCAGCAGTGGGCCCTTGAGGTGGAAAAGCTGGTTCTAAAAGCATACCAGTCTGTACCTGCGCTCATTGTAGGGAACCTGGTGTAGACATTCATCGACGATATCCGCAACCTTGAAGTCAGAGCTGCTGTGAGGCTCGGGCACCACCAGACGCTTAAGGACATGTTGGCCCATGCACTGGAGGTGGAAGCCGTGCGACAGGATCATCGTTCCCATCGCGTCAGGGAGGTTGCAGCAGCTACAGTTCGTGACCGCAGTAAAGGATACAGGCCTAGGTGCTACGGCTGTGGGGAGATGGGCCATCTTCGATTCAGCTGCCCTAAGCGAACTGTACAAAGGGAAGGTGATCGATCTCGAGAGGGTAGTGCGGCTAACAGCACCGCCCAGCGCAGCGGAAAATCTCATTACAACGCAGATGTATTGTCAAAAAGACCGTGTTCTGAAGATTGCAAGCATTGTACTAGGCAAGATAGTAAGGAAGTGGTATCTGTGAGGATACTCAGGACAGACCAGCTCAGCAATGAGTGGAATGACGGCTTACAACATGCACAGCAGGCAGATTCAGACATTAAGCCGATTCTGGAATGGATGAAGGCCAGTGCTCCTAAGCCCAAGTGGAGCGACGTCTCAGCGATGAGTTCGACCACGTAAAGCTATTGGGCTCAATAGGACAGCTTGCTGATTCAGGATGGTGTCCTGTGCCGTAAATAGGAAATGGTCGGGGAGACAATTGTCATTTGGAAATGATTGTCCCTACGGCTAAAGTACCGAATGTTCTATAGCTGTACCATAATGGTTGTTCAGGAGGCCATCTGGGAGTTAAGCGAACTCTACTGAAGATCCAAGAACGATTTTACTAGGCCCACTGTCGTGACGATGTCGAGGACTGGTGCCGCAAATGTACAAGTTGTGCGGCTACAAAGGGACCTCAAACTCGTAGTAGAGGCGCATTGAAATTGTACAATGTTGGTGCACCATGGGAGAGGATAGCCATTGACGTAGCGGGGCCGTTTCCGGAAAGTGAAAGTGGTAACAAGTATTTCATGGTTGTGATGGATTACTTCGCTAAGTGGCCAGAACTCTTCGTCATTCCAAATCAAGAAGCTTCAACAGTTGCAGATAAACTAGTTCATGAAGTCTTCTGTCGTTTTGAAGTACCTTTAGAGATTCACAGCGATCAAGGAAGGAATTTTGAGTCTCAAATATTCCAGGAAACTTCTTACCACCCACAATCTGATGAAATGGTAGAACGATTTAATCAGACATTGGAAAGGTACCTGGCAAAAGTTGTGGAAAAACGGCAACGAGACTGGGACATGCATATACAACCGTTTTTGTTGTCATATCAAAGCGCTGTTCACGAAAGTACATCAGTGACGCCAGCTTTCGCAAACTTTGGGAGAGAATTACGGCTGCCAGCAGACCTGATCACCGGAATACCACCTGATGCCCCACGCAGTATAACCGATTATGCAAATGACTTGCGGAACAAAATGAATGACATTTATGAGCACGTCAGACAGTCGGGCCAGCAAACGTCTGAGAAGATGAAAACATGGTATGACCGAACAACAAAGAGTTTGACGAAGGTTCAATAGTGTGGTTACACAATCCAGCTCGCAGCAAAGGGAAATCTCCTAAGCTTCAAGCTAAATGGGACGGACCGTACCGGACTGTGACAAGGATCAATGACGTAACCTACCGGATACAGAAAGGTGCCAGAGGTACTCCTAAGATCGTTCATGTGGATCGACTGGCGCGTTATTTTGGCGCCAATAATGCTCGGGACGAACATGTCTTAGGAGGGGGCAGTGTTGCGCGCCACTATTTATGTCTTGTACATGGCAACACTAGTTACACTAGCGCCCTCTAGTATCGAGTAGCAGAACTAGAAGAAGAAATTTCGGGACTGATATGTACTCAAACATTCTAGATGTCACTACAGTAGAAGGTACTGGAAACTATATAAGGCCGGTCTAGACCACGACCAAGGGAGTATTGAATTGGCGATACAAAAGAATACTTCGAAGCGAAATAACTGCGAACTGTGTTTTATTATTAGTGTGATTTTAAGTTGTAATTAGTGTTGTAATTAAAGTGTCAATTTTGGTAATTCAATTGGCACTTTTTAATTGTCTCGAACCCCAAGCTCGTAACAATATATATTATATCCCGCAATATAAATTATATCCCGCGATTGGCTTTTACACTGTGAGATATATCTTTTAACCAGTGTGTGTTCGTCATTGGTCATATCCCATATATAAAAACGGGCTTATAGGTATATATATATATCTCTATGGTAAATTGTACTGTGTAAGGATGGGCAAGGAAAAAAAATATATCGAATCAATATTTATAAACAGTCGATATATTTCGCGTGATAAATATAGATATATCGTTATCATTTGCATGATTTAAAGATAAGGTCCAAAATATATTACTGCCAGTTAGACTACGAAAAAAAAAAACGACAACCACACATGAATACTTTTGTACCTCTTTTTGTTGGTAAAATATATCGAAATTGATACGAATACGATACTATAAAATAAATATCGATATATCAAAATATCGCGATTTAAATAATCGACGATATATATCGATATTTATTGCCCAAGCCTAGTATAGTACTGTGAAACCATTTCCTATAATATATAAAAAAGTACTCTGTTGTCTGTGGAAACCATATATCCATAGATAAAAAGTAGCAAGGTGCTGAGGCATTTCTTTTCCAACAAATCAATATTTTAAAGTTTCGATTTATTCGTTTATCTTTCCATTTTGTTTGTTATCCTGTAATTTTCATTAGTATCTAATGAGAATCAATATATCGGTAAGATAAATTATGTAAAATGGATACGTATGAACACCGGTATCAATACAGTTGAGGATATTACGCCATTTCTTCTAGGCTTCTAAATAACTAAAAGGTCAGTACATTCTAAGTTAATTTTCGTTTCATGTATCAGACTAAACGCCGCAGAACAAAACATGTTTACGTGATATGTACTTTATTTAGTATTTTATATGTAATATGACTAAAAAGTTTGTTGAGTTAAAAACAATTTTGACAAGCCGTTTAACGTAGTGTTCAGTTTTATCTGGTAAGTATTTATATTTTGTTTAGTACATCCACATTGTTGTTTTATTTAGTTTCATTTCTGCATTTTAAACTCTTCGGAATTCTGATATTTTGCCAACCAAGTTGTAACAATGATTTTTGGAAATTGAAGATATTCACTAAGTTAAATTTATTAGAAAATGATTTTATGCACATAAAATACAAAAACAAATAAATATATTAGGTCCTACTGCTAAGCACAGGCTTTTAAGAGGGGTTTAGTTATCATAATATGAATATTAGTTTATAAAACAGTAGTCAAATAGCATAAAAGTAGATATAGGTTATGCTGTGACCCATCGCCTTGCAGAAAAATACTGCAATTGTCATAAAATATTTATTTGAAATTTCTAAACAATTTATAGCTAAGGTATAAATAATAATATATGAATTTAGTTTCCTTATAAAACTAAATCTTGAATTCCAATAAATAATACTAGACCTTGAAAAGTATAAGAAGTTAGAATACCTAATTTTGTATCTTAAAATGTATAAAGTTAAGGATATGTTTAAGTAAGATTGTAGTTAATCATTTTGGTTATAATGGAATAATCAATTGGAAACTTGTCTTGGTAAGCTATTTTAGTTGTGTACACAAATATATTAATGTGAACACAATAAGCAAAAACTTCAATAAAATTATCATTCATCCATTGTGGATGTGGAGAAATACAAACATAGTTACATCCAGTTACAAGCCATCCTTGTCACTTCATAACTCCTATGCCTTTTTAGAAATGTGTCATTGTAATGGCTATGAAAAAAGGGCCTACATTTACAAACTCATTTCAAAACAATGTCCCAACAATATTATGGTTTCATTATCCATAATGACCCTGTATCAGTGTCAGTAGACACTGATCCATGTTGCTCTTGTCAGATTGGTATATACAAAAAAACATAAACACATACTATATGATGAATAAAGGATATTATAATTATTGTTATTACTACTTTGCAATGATTCCAACATTTACAACACCTAGGCATTTTGAAATGTCCTAAGTATAATCACTTGGTCCATAATATATTATTTATGCGAATGGTTTATTAGTTACTACCTGTAAACAATGCAAAGCAAAGTTTACAGGTAGTAACTAACAAGCCATACACATAATAAAAAAAAATAACTTCAATATTCCTTACTTCCTTGTTAAATATGATTTTATAATAGAAATTATCTAGGCTTAGCTTTCCATTGACGTCAGTGGAGTTTGGTGTTGATACATATTTTTACAAAAAGATTACACTATTATAAGCACACACACAAAGTCTCATTATACGGAAACGCGTAATTTTTGAGAAAAGAATAATTGAAAATCAATTATTCTTGCAATGTTTATGTCTTAATCTGCTAATAAACTGGCGCCATTTTGTAATGTCATTGTCGACGTCAATAGGGATGTCGATTCTTTCCGAAAAAGGTCGATTTTTAAATCGATTCAAATCGTAAGCTTATGTATCGGTTCACAAAAAATCGATTTCTAAAATATCTATATTTTTTTAATGTTTCTATTTATAATGTGAATATAAACCCATTTTATGAAAAACAAGAAAGATACCATGATAAATGATCTCTTATTGAAATTTGTTTTATTTAACAGTACCTATTAGGGCAGGTAACAAATAAAATAGGTTAGGTTCAACTTATGTCAAAGAACCGAATTGATTGACCCCGACTCCACCTGGTACGAGTCTGTCCTACCCCTAGAGTGGTTTTATAGAGCCGGAGGCGCGTAGGGGGAGCAGCCTCCGCCTGCTCTAACAAATCGTAGGCATCGGACGAGCCGGAGCGGCTGAGGCTGGTCGCCGAAGGCGACCAACAAGCCGAAGCTGCGGAGGCGAGGAGGGATGCCTGCGATTTGTTACGCTAAGGCGTAGAGGTTGCTCTTCCCGCAGCGCCGGAGACGTAGCAGTCTCAAAATAGATACAGAAATCCTTATGAATCAGTCCCCTTATTTTTTTATGATGAAGGGGATTTTTTTCTCATAAAATGGATTTATATTTACATTATAAATGCAAACATGAAAAAAATATCGATATTTTAGAAATCGATTTTTTGGGAATCGATACATCCACTTACGATTTGAATCGATTTAAAAATCGACCTTTTTCGAATCGACATCCCTATTGACGTCGACAATGACATTACAAAATGGCGCCAGTTTATTAGCAGATTAGATATAAACATTGCAAGAATAATTGATTTTCAATTATTCTTTTCTCAAAAATTACGCGTTTCCGTATAATGAGACTTTGTGTGTGTGCTTATAATAGTGTAATCTTTCTGTAAAAATACGTATCAACACCAAACTCCACTGACGTCAATGGAAAGTCGTACCATTATCTATATATACAAATGAAAATATAAATTATATTTATTGAAAATTAAATATATAAATATAATATCAATTCAGTTCAATTATTGTTACTACATTACATAAGGTAAGGGCTGGGTAAACTAAACATAGTTTTGATTCTATAATTATATACATAAATAATTTATAGCTATAGAAAACTATGTTTTATACCTATTGTTACGAGCTTGGGGTTCGAGACAATTAAAAACTTCCGATTGAATTACCAAAGGGCAATGGCAGAAAAATTGTTGATAAAAAATATTGCGTCTAGAAATAAGTTATATATAAAAGGAGTTTTATTATTTTTCTATGATTTTTCATATAAAAATGTATTTTAATTAAAGCCACAGATAAAAACAAACATTTATGGGACTATCAAATGACTTAAATCCTTTTACTCTATTCAAGTGTTGCCATTTACTATATTCATACTATTTTCGTATACACTTTGTAAGACTACCAACACAACACACAAAATATTTTTATATTAAGTTATTATTAGTAAGAACTATAGTATGTATCAGTAATAATAAAAATAAAAGTGATATATTTGAAAAGTCTTTAACAAAGAACTTCCTACAATAATATATTATCTCAATCATAGTAATATGTAACAATTCCATTTAATGTTATGGCAACACTAGCTAAAACAAAATGTCAGTTTTTTTACTGGCTTTACAGCTCTGGGTTCTAGCCCTTCTGAGTGTCACTGTATGACACAAAGGCCCTGGAGCCATGCCAGAAATATACATTTATAGTATGCAAATATATAATAGAGTTACAATAATCTAAAAACTCAGTAATATAGGTAGGTACATTATGTTGAGAATGTATTAAGCTAACATCAAACAACCACAGAACGTATGACTTTTTCCAAGTGACAAAAGACAACCTTAAAAAGTTCAAATCTAAATATCTTTTTTTTGACGCCTTCTCAGGATAAATTTTTTTGACAGAGTTATTAAGGAACTGACGCTTAAAATTTTAAGATATTTTTGATATATAGACGCTACCATTCCTTCTCAACTAATTTTATGTATGAAAGTCTGCCATTGTTCATTGACACTTTAATTACACAACACTAATTACAATCTAAAACCACACCATTATGAAACACAATTGTCACTTTGGTTCGCAATTATTTCGCTTCGAAGTATTCTCTTGTATCGCCAATTCGTCGACGTGCTCATAAATGTCATTCATTTTGTTCCGCAAGTCATTTGCATAATCGGTTATACTGCGTGGGGCATCAGGTGGTATTCCGGTGATCAGGTCTGCTGGCAGCCGTAATTCTCTCCCAAAGTTTGCGAAAGCTGGCGTCACTGATGTACTTTCGTGAACAGCGCTTTGATATGACAACAAAAACGGTTATATATGCATGTCCCAGTCTCGTTGCCGTTTTTCCACAACTTTTGCCAGGTACCTTTCCAATGTCTGATTAAATCGTTCTACCATTTCATCAGATTGTGGGTGGTAAGAAGTTGTTCGTGTTTTATGAGTACCCATAACTCGGCAAGTTTCCTGGAATATTTGAAACTCAAAATTCCTTCCTTGATCGCTGTGAATCTCTAAAGGTACTCCAAAACGACAGAAGACTTCATGAACTAGTTTATCTGCAACTGTTGAAGCTTCTTGATTTTGAATGGCGAAGACTTCTGGCCACTTAGTGAAGTAATCCATCACAACCATGAAATACTTGTTACCACTTTCACTTTCCGGAAACGGCCCCGCTACGTCAATGGCTATCCTCTCCCATGGTGCACCAACATTGTACAATTTCAATGCGCCTCTACTACGAGTTTGAGGTCCCTTTATAGCCGCACAACTTGTACATTTGCGGCACCAGTCCTCGACATCGTCACGACAGTGGACCCAGTAAAACCGTTCTCGGATCTTCAGTAAAGTTTGTTTAACTCCCAGGTGGCCTCCTGAACAACCACTATGGTATAGTTGTAGAACATCCGGTACTTTAGCCTTAGGGACAACCATTTGCAAATGACACTTGTCTCCCCGACCATTTTCCCATTTACGGCACAGGACTCCATCCTGAATCAGCAAGCTATCCCATTGGGCCCAATAGCTTTTCGTGGTTGAACTCATTGCTGAGACGTCACTCCACATGGGCTTAGGAGCACTGGCCTTCATCCATTCCAGAATCGGCTTAATGTCCGAATCTTCCTGCTGTGCATGTTGTAGGCTGTCTTTCCACTCATTGCTGAGCTGGTCCGTCCTGAGTATCCTCAGATACCAATTCCTTACCCTCTTGCCTAGTAAAATGCTTGCAATCTTCAAGACACGGTCTTCTTGACAATGCATCTGCGTTGTCATGAGATTTTCCGCTGCGCTGGGCGGTGCTGTTAGCCGCACTATCCTCTCGAGATAGATCACCTTCCCTTTCTACAGTTCGCTTAGGGCAGCTGAATCGAAGATGGCCCATCTCCCCACAGCCGTAGCACCTAGGCCTGTATCCTTTACTGCGGTCACGAACTGTAGCTGCTGCAACCTCCCTGACGCGATGGGAACGATGATCCTGCCGCATGGCTTCCACCTCCAGTGCATGGGTCAAGGCGTCCTTAAGTGTCTCGTGGTGCCCGAGCCTCTTAGCAGCTCTAACTTCTAGGTCGCGGATATCGTCGATGAATGTTTGCACCAGGTTCCCTACAATGAGCGCAGGTACAGACTGGTATGCTTTTCGAACCAGCTTCTCCACCTCAAGGGCCCACCGCTGCAGGTTTTCGTTACTGCGTTGCACGCGATCTTTGAGCTGCGCACGAAAGACATGTTCCAGGTGAGCGTCGCCATATCTCGCCTCCAATGCCTCAAGGAGCTGTTCGTAAGACACTTCCTTACCGAGAGCTTCCAGAACAGTTAAGGCCTGGTCTCGCAGGCCTATGGTGAGAGCAGTCATGGCCTGACTTTTATTCCAGCCGTTCGCCTTCATGACAGTCTCGAATTGGATTTTGTAGGCCGACGAAGAAGTCCCGTCGAACGGCGGCACTTTGAATCCACGTAGTGAAGGTGTTGTAGCTACCACGGGAGCTGTAACTCCATCCCCAATTTTGAGGTTGTCCAGCGTTTTCTTCACGTCGACCATCACGTTGTTAACCCGATTGTTCACTTGGTCGATTCGGGTTTCAGCTTCCGACAGGCGGTTGTCATGTTGAGCAACCGTATCCTTCACCTCCTTTATCTCTTTCCCGAAGGTAGCGTGAAGGTCCTTCATGAGGAGCATCTGCTCATCCTTATCGCGTTTGAGCTGCTTTTCCAAGCAACGGGCCTGTTCCTCCTCTCCGCGCTGCAGCTGCTCTTCCAACTGACGGACCTGTTCCTCCTGTATGCGCTGCAGCTGCTCTTCCAACCGACGGGCCTGATCCTGCAGCGTCATCATCAGAGCACCTAAGTCAGGTGCTGCAAATGCAGGAGCTGCTGACGCGCCGGCCCCCGTGGTCAGCAGCTGGCCCTCCGACGTTGCATTACTAAATCGTCTCTGGTCCGTCTCTAGCTGGCGTTGACTTCGGGTACGGATACCCTCCATGTCGTCCTTTGGTAAAATCGGCATGATTTTATCCCACTTCTGACACCAATTGTTAAGAGCTTGGGGTTCGAGACAATTAAAAACTGCCGATTGAATTACCAAAATTGACAATTTAACACAACACTAATTACAATCTAAAACCACACAATTATATAACACAATTGTTACTTTGGTTCGCAATTATTTCGCTTCGAAGTATTCTCTTGTATCGCCAATGCAATACTCCCTTGGTCGTGGTCTAGACCGTCCTTATATAAGGCTTCAGGTAGTTTCCAGAACCTTCTACTAAACATCTAGAACGTTCGAGTACATATCGGTCCCGAAATTTCTGGAAGGATCTTGACTCTCCTATTTCTGCTACTCGATACTAAAGGGCGCTAGTGTAACTAGTGTTGCCATGTACAAGACATTAATAGTGGCGCGCAACAATATTAAGGCTTTTTAAACTCTAGGCTTAATTTGCTTGTGTTTGAGATAAATTCACAGAAGCTGAATATTTTGAATTATAATAAAAAACCTAGTAATTCACTGAGCAAGAACTGTCAGAATTCAGCAGAATTAAAAATCAGAGTGTAATCAATAATCATTATCTATTAATAAAGTTGTATTAAAAGTTTGTTGGTAAAAAACAATTTGTCATTGTATAAAGTATTTTAAGTAAATAATATTCATCCATATAATAAACTACATTGCCCAATAGACATTTTTTTTGCCATATAATGAAAAAGGAGAATTACCATATTTCATCCTATGAGTGTAACTGGTAACTAATAAAAATGTCTAAATATTCTTGTGAAGTCTGACAGAGAGCAGTACAGTATGCTATGTGTTATAATATGCAAATTGGAAATGGGAACCAGCATTAAAGGTGCTAAATATTTAGTATTAAAATCACCTAAATGCCTGCCAAGTAGTATGGCAATCGTGAAACAATCCCTCTGATATGAGAGAAACTCGTGCTTAGACACATTGCTTAGGGGCTGATAAAGAAATTAATAATTTAGTAGTTAAACTTCTCACAAAATATATTATCCACTTTGATTATTGTTAGGTATTGTTTAATTATTTTAAGTCACTTGAACTGAACTTGAACTGTACAGTACACACTTTTGGAGCAAACATCCCAAAATTAAGTTAGATAATTTAGCAAATATAAAATGTGGATTATTATGCTTATAGTGATGTTCATTATTGGAAAGAAGTATGCTTTAATTATAATTCGTTGTTTTTGGAAAATATTGAAATTTTATATGAGAAATAGTCATTACGGACACCTCTTGCTAGGAGATGTACTAATCAACATATTTTTTAAATTTTTCTGTACTACAGCTGTGATAAATTTACCTTCAGTGTAAGTATTTTGACTGAGCAAAGATTGTAAGTATCAATTTAAATAATTTTACTGTATGTGGATATTATAACTTCTGTAAACAACGAAAATCACGAAAATGATTTATTTTTCAGAATTTGGTGACTGAAGAAACAAGACAGAAGATTATAAAAGCTTTTTCATTTAATGACAAAAAAGTTTATGACCAGTTTGTGGCCATAAACTGTCAAGTGTAGTGAATCAAGATGGACCTTCCTGATTGCCCCCCAGGGGCAGAGGGCTATGAAGACTCCGTTACTGAAATGCCAAAAAAGTCCGAAGATCCTTCATGCACTAAGGTAAATATAAAATTTAAAATAGTAATCTTCTTTCATTTGATTCTGAAAGTATAAAGTAATAATATAATATGCAATGTGTTTGTTTTTGTAATATTATTGATGATAATATACACTTAGGCTTACAAATTTGGATTTCTGATGTGCACTTTCATGGCATCATATGTTTTGAAAATAATTCTTTCTTAGAAAAAAATTGTTTTTCTTACTTTAGATTTTATCTTTTATTCATGCATTAGTACAACACGAAACTAATTACTAATATTAACCTGAAAAAGAAAATATTAAGTATAATTTGCAATTTTTTTTTACCCATACCAGCAGGCCTATTCTCTAACTTCATTGTCATAAAAAGATACAGTAAGGCTTCGGTAATCCGAACACCCAAAAGAATGTTGGTCAAATCGTACCAGACGACGAAATGATGGTGTCACTATATGCCATATTTATGAAAAATATCCTTATTTTTTAAGGTCTTAAAAAACACAAAAAATACCTCTAAGTAGCCACAAAAAAGTTATCCATTTATTTTTGTTTTGTAACTGTTTCGAAATTATTTAAAATAATGGTTTCAGAAGGCACTGGAACGCACGTAATGACGATTCATTTTGCGTACCACAGGACTTTGTATTCATTCAAACACTATAATTATCTACGTTTTTCTGACTAGTTATTAATTGTTATTCAATTTAATTAGTATGTAGAGATCAAATCAACTACTATACTGATTTATTATGTACTGGATTCATGTCATAAAAATAATTATGTAGCTTCATAGTAAGCTAAGCGTTTTGTTCAATTACGAACAACGGAACGTCATTTGTCATCGATAATGTAATAATGTAATGTAATAATGTGGTCATCGGTCGACGCTATTGATTGTCACCCGGCAATAATTCGTATCATCTTATTTATTTCACTCGTTGTTGTGGATTGTGATACTGATGATAATGATCTGAAAGAAATCGAAATAAATGGAAACGAGATTGCTAATTACCCTCCTCGATTATCGCTTACTACACTTTTAGGCTATATAGCAGTCGGATAAAAGGTAGTTGTATATTCTAACCCCAAAAGTATTGTTGACGTTATTATAAAACATTGTGGCTATTTAGATATGATTTTAAAAAGGGATGGTGTTTACAATATAAAAACAAACCAATCTAGCTATAGTTTGTTTTGGGACATGAAAAATGAAATCAAGTCCAGCTCCTATAGAAATTTGGCCATTGTTCTTTAAACCCTGTTCAAATTAATGATACATTTGGACTATAGTACAAGTATGTAGATATTTTAAAAGGCATTTTTTGAAATGAAACATAGATTTTTATAATTGAAAGTGCACACCTTAAAAAATCTAGCATAGTATTTTGACGAGTGGTGTTTAATGACAAAGAAAATGCTTCATCTTTCAAATTACGTTTATTTAATTTTTTTCTGAAATTGCGATATCTACTTGATTCATCCCTTCCAAACATTCATTTAATGAGACAACTGGATGTATGTGGAATCCTTGCAATTACTTCCGATTCTTCTAATACTTCCATCATTTTCAATATCAGTCTCATTTAGTATTTGTCTTACTATGTCATTATTGCTTTATAAGAAATTGTTAATTTCTTCTGAAAAGTCTATGTCACGGAAAATATGCAATGGAAGATCATCTTCAGGGTCAAAGTCGTGTAGCACCCGAAGTGAATGAGACAGTGGCTTGCATGACCAGGGGGTATGGTCGTTCGGATTACCGGTGGTTCAGATTATCGAAGCTCTACTGTAGTCACTTCAAAGTACATTCTTTAGTATGCTTTAGTTTCTTTTTAAAGCAGAAATATAAAACATATTATACAATGTACTAAAAATGACAATCATTTTGAAGTCAACAAAGTTAACAAATAAGCCTGCTGACCTGCAAATATAAATAATTTATGACTGTATAGGTGAATAGGGATCCAAGATATTCAGCTTAAGTTATAATATATATTAAGCTCCAAACAGTTGTTTGGATTCATCCCAAAAATTACAAGTCTAGCCTAAATGGATGATCTATCGTCGTATATAATTCAGATTAGGAACCCTCAGGGTGCGAGACCTACTCGCACTTGTCCAGTTTTTTTCTACTTTCAGGCTTGCTCTATGTTTATAGAATACCTCTCAGATTTCTTGAATGTTCTTCTTATGCAGTGTTGGGAGAAGGTGATCTGTCATTTTAATCAATATTGTTAACATAATTGAAATAAATACCTGAGGTGATAATATGACAATGAACTTGCAATTTAATCTAAAACAAATTGTATTGTCAGATTGGTCCCTATTTCAGAGATACAAATATCTTTTGAGTTTGTTAAGTGATAAATTATGTAAAGTAGTGAGAATAAAAAAAAATTGTATACATTAATAAAAAGCTTGTTTTACAATAAAGACCATAAAAGAGCTTAGTCCTAAATTCTAAAAACCAAATATTAGTGATCAATGAACAAAGACTGAGAAATAAGCTTGATGTATTGGTAATTTTCCCAAATTAACTCAATTTCTAGATCCAATAACCTCAACTTTTGAGAAGTTTTTTTTAATAATGATTTCTAATATTTACGCGTATACTACCTATTAAATGAAACTTATTTTACGGATTTTATCGGATTTAATTTTAACTTTTTAAACCGTAATGTTTCGGGTGCTTTAGAGTGGGGAGAGATTGAGGACTTTAACATCTGTTTTTCCGAGGCACGAGGGTGAATCATCAGTTTCCTAACTCTGGGCTGCTACTAAGAATTTCTTTACAGAAAAATCCAATAACTTATTTTGACCAGGATCGGGATTCAATATAGATTATAAATAAGATTTATTGAAAGTCACTCTTTTGTTTAATTTACCACTGGTTCGGAAAAATCCTCTGATCCTGAAACCCACATGATCAATAGTCACGCTTACGACCACTAGCAAAAACAGTCACTTGTCTAAATTATTATTTAGAAAATTGTAAGTAACTCCGACGCCTATGCTAGATTGGTACTCTTTTCGTCTCCGACAGTAAATTCGATTTTATTGATGTGTAATTATGTGTTTGTCAGGGTTTCTTACTAGTATTAAATGCACTTGTTGCTAAGTGGCCCGTAGACAGCAACGTCATAATCATTTATGAAGAATGAAAAGGTGGAATGCGTCGTATCTAGTAATTTACCGTTTTCGTCATTCACTATTTTGGGTAAAACGCAACTATGTTAGTTTTATTATAAGTACTTACGACAGTATTCTGTAAGAGAGTCCTTCCTTTCAGTCGGTTCAACAGGAAAAGGTACTCTACAGACGATAGAGGTTTATGTTTCATTGGGCAATTAATTAAAAATTCAATTATTATTTTCTATCATCAAATTGATTAGAAATAATTTTAGTTATTTTATGTTATACTGTGTGCCATTTGGTAGCGACATAAGAGAAACCCACCACCCCATTTCGTCCTTTGAATAACATAAAATACTCGCTCAATGAAGAAGGCGAAAATATTTCAGGGACCCTGATAGATGAAGGTTAATACTATCTGGTTTATGCCAGGTGTATAATATCTTGACCGTCGATGGTGAACAGTATTAAGGGTGCGGTATATTTAGGGATACAACAGGAAGAATATCGTATATTCAATTTAATGACGATCGTTATGCAGGTATCTACAACAATTTTAATTGTGCATATTAAAAATTACACCATTAAATAATTTTCTTTTTTTGTCAATTTTAGATTTTCCAACTTTGTAGAGAAATGATAAGTTAAATTTTTAGTGGAGAAATAACATAGTTACAACAATAGCACTACTAACATAATTCTGATTTTAATGGAATGCCTGCTCCGTCTATGCACAACAGGTGTATACCTAGCTGGCTAGACTGTTTGACGGATTTTAAAGTGCAAAATCTCCAGACCAGTCCAGTTTAGGCTATGTTTTATGGTGATTAGCATGTGTATTTTATTGCGCATTCCGAAGACTATTTGTCATTTTAGTTTTGTGTTGGTGTCTATTCAGACACAGACATCAGACATAGACGTAGATCCTTGAACAGAGTATGCACAGACATAGATGATTGAAAATTTTCCAAAGTTGTAAAATGCATTATAGACGTGTCTAAAAGTTAATTTTATCAGTTTTTCGATTAAACAAGAAAAAACTTGCATGTTTTTTGAATAAAATATAGCAAAGATCACTCCTGCCATTGCTCTCTATCCGTTGATGAAGTTTCATCAAAATCAGTTCAGCCATTGCAAATATTAGCCTGAACAGACAGACAGAATTTCTCTTTAAAAATGGTCATTGTGTTATAACTTCCGGAACTTAAAAGAAGCCAGTTATTTCTATACTACGAACGTACAGTATGTAGAGTATCACCGTCTTACCTAGTGCCAGTATAAAATTATAAATACAGGCCATGAGGCATTCCATCTCAGTCCTTAGAGTTGACAACGACGTAGCCTTCCTAGTTTGAAATTAGCTGCAAGTGTCCATGGGCTACAGTAGCTACTTACCATCATCAGGTGCACTGTACTGTCGTTTGTTACTTTTATAAGAAAATGTTAAATAATATACACTTATAACATGTATTTTCGGAATGTTGTTATTTGTTAGTTGTATATTGGATACAAACCAAACTGTTTCAATATTTATTTTTTGGGATTATAAGTAGTTTTTGTGACTTCATGCAGGCTAGAACAAGGGTTGTCTAGTTTGTATAAATGACTTTTTACACTGCTATCATATAAAAAACTGTAGTCTCAAATGCTTTGGATGAACGCCCCATTTGGAACCTGCTAACACTTTAAAGATATTTAGAAATTTAAGTATTTTTCCCTCGTTTCATTTATGTGTCTACCCCATTTTAAGTTCCTGTCCAGCCACATACCTAAATATTTAACATTAACATTCCTATGTAGTTTATAAATAGACATATTGTTAACTGATATATATATGGAAAATAAAGATTAAATAAATAAACATTTATATTGTTGTATGCGCCGTCGATGTCTACAAAATACCCTACAGTGACCTTTCCGTCCGTTACCAAAGCCACTTTTTCACATCTGTCCATTTTCTTGGTACAAAGCTTGAAAGCAAAAATCTGTTGTATAAAGATATGAGAATAATTTTGGCAGCATCTGGCAGGTTCCTGATCATAGAATATGCAATATCGTCTGCGCCAGGTACTGTATCGGACTGTTTAATTGTGTTTGCGAGTTTATTTACCGAAATAGGTGAAGATAGATGAGCGTTCTCACTAGTTAAACAATGGAGTCGGTGGATCTGCATAATGCAAAAGTGCTAAGCTACATAGTAAAGAGTCAGCTAGCTCACGGGTAATATTACTTTTTGCTGTCTTGCACCCCTTTAGCCATCTCATTTTAGCCCATATTTCGCTTGAAGTTGACATACTATCAATGTTTTCACAAAAAAATTGCCATGACCTACCTTTACTACTATGGATAATTTTTGTGCCAACCTGACCTTGTTCTGTAGTGCTTCTAAATTTACTGGTGTGAGGTTTTTCCTAAAAACAAGCAAGCAAGTGCTCGACGTCTTTCTGCTACAGCTTTTGAAATATCCGAATTCCAATATGGTTTAGGAGTAAATTTCTGTTGGTGAAGAGGGTTTTCACATATTTTAATGAACGGGATACACTTATCGGCTGCCCCATTAATTAATAATATCAATAAAGGCGTCATACGCAGACTGTTGGTCATCTGATAATGTAAAGCCCTCTATGCATGTCTTGTACTTTGACCAATCCGCCTTTTTAAAATTGCCTTTTCTTTTATAGGAATTGGATGTGCCAACATTAGTTTTCAACTTAATCGGTCACTTCCCAGATTTTCATTTAGTACTATCCAGTCGAACTTCAAAGCTATATCTAGAGAAGCTAGAGATAAGTCGAGAGCAGATATTTGTACTATACCGTTAACCAGTTTGATTCTAGTATGTGTGCCGTCATTCAGTGAAATAAAATTGTTTTCTAAGATGTTAGTGTGGTGGCCATTAAGATCTCCTGCAATTAGTCTTTCGTTTGTCTAAATTGAGGATTTGGTCCCAGTCTCTCAATGTGCTACTAGCAAATGGTGGACAGTATAAGGAGTATACATTTTCTATATGTTTGCAATTTAGAACTCTAATATGAAGGATCTCAATTTCTGAATTTAGAAGTTCAACAATACTTTTTTGTGCCTTAACTGACTTATGTCTCAGTATAGCTACACCTCCGAATCCGTCATCACGATCCCTTCTAAAGATATTATAATCGCTAATGTGAAAGTGACTACCTGGGTCTAACCAAGTTTCGCTTATAATAGCAATATGTATTTTTTCTTGATTTAATAGCGCTTCCAACTCTGTACATTTAGGTCGAATGCTTTGCGCATTCCATTGTAGCACATTTATATGGGATTGTGAGTTGTTGTTGTCCATAACTGTTTTATGAAATTGCAACAAGGCTGATCTGCAATAAACTGAAACACTAATGATATTAACGCTTCCAATATTATACTTCCGCAACCTTTTATCTTATCTTCCCATGAACTGCTTTCCTCTTCAAATATCTTCTCTTTTAGTTTTTTAAACAATAATTTCCAAGACACTAGTTCTTTATATTTCGATCGACTCTCATCACTTAGTTCTTCTTCCGTTCTGCTTTCTTCCTCACTAACTTCAGTAACAACTTCAGGTATATTTCCTTGCTGTTCTTGAAGAGACTTCCTTCTATTTCTTCGTTTCTGTCTTCGAACTTTTCCTCGTTTTTACCGGGGTTGCTTTCGTAATACTAGCGTAGGTATGCACATCACTAGGCCCAGGCATCTGTTTATTTTGTTGCAAGGATTCATTTTCAGATGTAGGTTGTGTAAATAGAGGCGGATCATTTTTCATGTTCGGTGGTTGAGGCGACGGTGGGACATATAGCATAAGAGCTTTTCTGAAAGAACAGTTAAATTCTGTCATGAGTTCTCTGATTCGTTTCTCCTTCAAGAAGACAGGACAAATTTTAGCCATTGCCATGTGTTTTCCCATACAGTTATTGCATTTGAAAGTTGTCGTTTCACAGTTAGGATGACTTTTTGTACATTTGGGACAGATTACTTTTAGAGAAGGACACATTTTAATCGAGTGACCAAATCGCCAGCAACGTGAGCATTGTGTCAATGGGTAAGTGTAAGGACTCACTTTCACCCTAGTGTCATAAATGTAAACATATGACGGTAATGATGGCCCTTTAAAACATATTCTTACAGATTCGCTCAGCTCCCAGTGACCGTCGTAAGTGTTGTTTTGCTTTAGCCTTTTTACAGCTAAAATCAAAGTTTCGCTATTAATTCCTTGTAATATCTCTTCTTCGCTCAATTCTAGATCAATATCTTTTATGATCCCATATGATTGATTAATTTCTAAAGTTTTTTGACATTTAAAACCATTCTCGTTAAATCTCTTGCACTGTATAAAAGACTCAGCACTTTCTTCACTATTAAAGTGAATCAATACCTTAAATGTATTTATGTATTTAATTTTCGTGACGTTTTTATACTTTCTGCTTTTAACATTTTTGTCAATCCGAACTGTTTCGGGAGTTTTTCTGTACATGTCAAATACACTTCAATTTTATCCTCCGGAATTCTCGTACACACACTATCCTCTATGCGTATATTATGTCTTTTTTATATAATAAGGGTGACAAACGAGCACATAGTCCACCTGATGGTAAGTGGCTGCTGTGGGCCATAGACATCTACATCTATCTTCATAAAATAAAATGCAGATGCGTTGTCAGCCGTGAGGACTAAAATAGAATGCCTCTTTTCCAGTAAAAAGGGTCTCCGGTTCTCTACACTCACCATACGAAACACAGCAGCATTAAGCTGCTATTTTACGTTGGTATTGTGTGAGAGCGTCGAGCCGACCCATTCGTGCTACAACCATACTATTAATATAGTTTTTTTTTTATAGGATAAGGGTGACAAACGAGCACACAGTCCACCTGATTGTGTTTGCTGCGGCCCATAAACATCTACAACTATCCTCGTTTGCGAATTAAAATGCAGATGAGTTGTCACCCGTGAGGACTAAGATGGAATGCCTCATTTCCAGTAAAAAGGGCCTCCGGCCACCTGCACTCACCAAGTGAAACGCAGAAGTAAACCTCTACTTCACGCTGGTTTTCTGTGAGGTCGTGGTACCACCCCGGTCCGAGCCGGCCTATCCCTGCGACAGCAAAAGCTGCAGCATGGCTCTACCACGTATAAAAAAATGTCTATTCGCCCTTCTCTTCTTTGAGGGTCTCTCTAAAAACATGTCATTCCTATCTTTTCAGTATTACACATCTGTTGAATATCCTTCATGCTCATAGTAATCTCGTTTTCACTGTTTTCAGTAAACACATTATTTTCCACATCCACCTCACATTGCATATATTTCAACATAGCGTTACTAAACATAATTAAATTACCTCACTGTTAACATGGTCAACAAAAGCGCACGGACGTGCGAAGCGCGTTGCTAAAACTATTAGTAGTACGTTATCGAACGATAAATCGAAGCGTCTAGCTGCAGCGAGCGCCCGCGCGCAACTGCATTTAACATTTATGTTTTACGACGTATTGTGTATATTTCATTTAATATTGGTCCAACCAATGGGCCTTTGTTATATTATAACTTATTTTTAATGCAACTGTTTAATTGGTAAATGGCATTAAAAGTTATTTACAAATTTTTAAAATAAAATTGAAAAACAAAGGGCATAACTTTGACCTCAATTTTTAGGTGTTTGCAATTCCTCAGATATTTGGTCCCGTTCCGTACTTACATTTTTTTTATAAAATAAGGGTGACAATCGAACACAGTCCACCTGATGGTAAGTGAATGCTGAGGCCCATAGACTGCCTCGTTTTCAGTAAAAAGGGTCTCCGGTTCTCTACGCACACCATACGAAACACAGCAGCATTGAGCTGCTATTTTAGGCAGGTATTCTGTGAGAGCGTGGTCCTTCCCCGGTCGAGCCGACCCATTCGTGCTACAACCATAATACAGCTGCAACATGGCTCAAACACATGTGAAAATATTACACAAAATATTTTTTACATAAAACAGTTTTTCGATATTTATAATTATAATGGATTCAAATAACATCAATCACAATTTATCAAGGTTTTGTAGGGATACATACAATCTTCGTGTGGTAAAATGTTTGTGCTTGCAGTTATCCCAGAGTGAAATATGTAGGCAATATAATACAGTGTTTGGATGTTTGTGCAATAGATACTTAAGAGTATAAATACTCTTAAATAATGTTTATGAAATTTCATAATATGTTTTTATAATGACGAGTTTGATACTATATTTAAATTAGAATAGCTGGCGTCGTCACCAATAGTCAAATTGTTTCTAAAACTAGAAGCCGATACCTATACTTCTAATCCAGTTCGATATTTCCTAAGAAAAAACGCGCACGCAAGAATTTTGTAAAAGATAATATTACGTGCATACGTTATGGTGTAAATTATTTTTTACGTCCTTTAGTTACGACGTCTTGACGAGTGGTGAGGCAATTCGGTAAGTAAGGATTACGAAACTAAAAAAAGAATTAAAAAAGCAAACTACGAAAAAAGTACAAATAAATATATTTACATATTTCAATTATTTTGTTTCAATTTATCCTATAAATACGACTTCAAGTATCTTTAAGACGGATTTTACTTAACAAAATGTATGTCACGAGATGAACTGTTATATCTCGGAATTTGCTCGTAAAATTTAAACTGTTAAAATTATTTTTAACACATAAGGTCTAATTTATATTTATATATTACAGGCAGAGCTGGAGTTTCAAGAGCATTTGAACAGCTTAAAGATAAGACTCGAAGATGGAAGCGTTCGGTGCATGGTGGAGAGGCGGGGCCGAGACGTGTCGTCGAATTGGATATACTTATGTTATCCCTGCGCTGCGGTCTGCAGTGGCGAGAGCATTTTGCAGGTGAGATTGGTATTAATCACTAACCCATAGTAGTCGGCTGTTGTCAATATCTATCCCGAAGCATATTAAATTCAATACTTGACAGATGGATTGGTGGTGGCAGTAGAAGACGCTGAGATGATTTTTGCACCATTTATCATTCCACAATTTCTTACCCTGAAAGATCGGTTCCCGATCTCCGATCGATTAGATACGACTAACAACTTGCCAAGTCGATGGTGGTCTTTTTGATTCGGCAATAGAAATGTGATGGGTTTCAGTGATACGAAGAACAATATAATACGTTGGATGGAGATGATGATTGGTAACACATTTTTGTGACCTTAGCCGCCTTGAGACTCTCACGAATTTATAGATCACATATGAACTTAATTCTAGAAACTTTGACTTGTTCTTGAACATTTTCTTGCCCACAACCGCATAGGACTCTTCCATAATATCGATAAGCATTTCAAGTCCACTGCCAAACTTCACAAGAATGCACTGACTGTATTTCCAAGAATGTGCCATTTTGTATGCATCACTTTCTAGTTTCTAGATTTGCTCAAACTCATTCCCACTTTTCAGGCTGTCGCCAAACCTACCGTCTCAATCAGAGATTTTTTTGGAAATTGAAGGAGGGATTGGTTGGAATTGAGGAAAGTTGGTTCTTTGGAAATTTTCAGTTTGTTGAAAACCCTGCTTTATAACTTTTAATAATTTACTAGAAAATCTTTACTATTATCGATATAAAACAAGAGTACCATTTTGGTGAAACTTGTTCAAGGCATCAGGTAGTTTCTCAAATTTTTCAAAAGACTTGCCTTTTGAAAAATGTATACCTACAAGAAATTTGGATAGATCGCAATGCTCTCTGCTCCCTGCTCTCCTAGAGGAATTTGGTCAACAACAGTGAGGTAATCTCGTACATACAGAAAAATTCATGATGTGACCGAAATTTTTTTTCGAAACTGACTGACCGACGAGAAATAGTCAAGTGTAAAGATATTAGCATAGACATGGAATATAGGTGTTAATGCAGGTTTACACTTATACAAGTTAACCTCTTCGGATACGTGGTATATATTGAAAAGAATAGAAACCATATAATTGCTACTCATAGGTACTACCCCAATAAGAATTTTGTATTTTTTATGCAAATAGGCAAACTCGCCCAATTGTGATATTTGGCACATTATAGACAATGTCCACATATGGTAGCAGAATGTGTCAAATATCAACAGTAAAGGGAGAATCTGGTGCAAAAATTTAATATTAATTTGTGTGAAATGGGTTGGTTTTTGAGTATAGTTGCTTTTGTTTTGTTAAATTAATTATTTTGCTACCGCTGAGTGTGGCTCCACTCATCGGTAGCAAAATCGTTAATTACCACATGCTCACCACATTGATTCCCTCTTTCTAAATACTTTGGATTTGTGAAACAGGAACAAGGTATGTTAGTTTAGTTTAATTTAGTTTACAACGGACTGTTTTCCGCAACTCCACGTCTAAGCGCGTATTTTGCATGTGGGCAGGAATAATGTATTTATTCGAGCCACGAAATCTCCCCGAAGAAGCTCAACAGTCATTTGATGTTGCAAGCAACTTCGGCGAGTGATCCCGGCGTGCCGGATGTTTAGCTCTGTATGTAGCGATCTCCGGACATGTCAGTAACACGTGGGCCGCAGTTTCTTCCTCCCCTATACATGCCCTGCACAGGAGACTATCTGTAACACCTATGGTAAATAAATGTTTGTTAAACGAACTATGTCCTGTGATAGCACTTGTCTCATTAGATAGAACCTTTGTTAAACGACTGTTTATTTTGGGCAGGGCCCCCCTAGCTTGTCTACAGTCTACTAGATTTTTCCAAAACTGTAGTGGACAAAGTCGATTCTCTTCTGGCCAGTTCATCTGTTGCATTTGTTGCCTCTGGATCCACTGTGTTCCTTTATCTATTGCAGAGTCACATTGTTGTGTGACTCTACAAATATTTAAGGTCTTGAGTCTAATGGCAGCTAAAGTAGCTTCTTGTTGTATGCGTAGATGAAGCCTTTATCACGTTTATCATGTTTCTGCATTGCATGAAAGTTATACTAGCTTTGTTGGTTTATATTCAAGGTATGTTACGATAATGCTGACATCCATGTAGGATAAAAGCCTTTTTAAATAAAGTTAGATAATAAAAAAAACTTATGCAAGTTACACTAATACATATTTTATCCATAAATTTACCACAAATTGTATACAATAAAATATTCCATATTAGTGTTTGGTGGAAGCAGGAAATAGAGTTAATGGGGATCTACACTCTATTGTGGGAAGTCAGAATGTGTCAAAAGCATGTATGATAATTTACAATGCTGTGTTAGTGCCTACCTTAATCTATGACAGTGAAAGTTGGGTCTGGCAGAAGAAGCACAAGAGTAGAATAAATGCTGTAGAAATGTGGTTATTATGGATTATGTTAGGAATGAATCTGAATGACAGAGTGAGAAATTGTGTGATAACAGAAAAGTGTAGTTTGTAAGATGATGTTGTGACCAGGATTTAGAAAGGAATGGTTTGGTCATGTAGAAAGAAGGAACGAGGAAAGAGTGACAAAACAAATCTATGTTGCAGAAGTGAACGGCATAGTCGGGAAGGGACGCCCTGGACGAAAGTTTATCGTCCAAATTGGGGATAAATTGAAGACAGGTCAGATTAAGAGTACCCTTAACCGATGAGCATGTACGTGAGAGAGGTGTGTCAGGATCGTACCAAATGGAATTCCATAGTCTCTGCCTAGCCCTCTGGGTGACAGGTGTTAGTGTTTATGTATGTGATTTTAAGAGTGTTAATTACGTTTATATTTGCAGACGCATATATCGGGGAAGAAGCATAAAATCAAGCTATCGATGAAGACTGTATGGCCCGTTAGCATTTTTGAAGAGCACCCATGTATTTTAAAAGAGAAAGGTGTCATCAAAACTGGAGGTAATTCACATATCATATTATGCTCTTAAAGATAGTCGAGAGTCCTGTGTTCAACACCTAGGAAATTGTTTGGTCTCTTCAATCCAACAGCATAAGCATGAAAGTTATAGGTAGGATGAATGAGACTGTTTTGCAATGTGAACTTAAGGCACAAAAGAGTGCAGTAGATTTTTTTGGAAAATTATTTACTTTTAAAATCAGAAATCGGAACCTCTTATTTGTTAATACAAAGCAAACCTTTTGCTCACGTACTAATTTCTTAAGATTTTTTTTAAATTAGTAACCTTTAAGTGGACTAGGAATTTGATGAGTGAGTCAGTGAGTGGCAAAAGTTTTGTCATAAAATGTTGGATGCTAGATACATGGCCTTATGTATCCAGCATGACTATGTGTGCAAAATTATAAGATTGTAGGTCTCAAATAGTATTTGCTATGTAGTTTTCGAAAGTAGCTCGAAATGGTTCAAGTAAAAGTATCCACACTGTCGGTGCGCCGCTCTTTTTTTATATACAGCTATATTATAGTTGTACGCCGATTTGTTGTTGTTTGCTTGAATGAGTAAGAACCACGCTCTTACAGAATACTAGCATGAAATAGTGACTGATGCTGCTGTGTTTTGTATGGTGAGTAAAGAGAACTGATGATCTATTTCATTGGAAACGAGGCGTTCCATCTTAGATCTCGGCGGGACAACGCATCTGCATTCTTGATTGATGATAGATCTAGATGTCTATGGGCCACAGCTACCACTCAACGTCGGGTGGACCTGTGAGCTCGTTTTTCACTCTTATCCCATAATTGCCAAACAAATCAAAATCTGGTTGCCTACCTGCTTTCCAAGCATGGCAATAATGACACAAGTGCCATCTTCAAGACAATGTATGGGGAGCCTTATGTTCAGCTAGGGCACATCTCATAATATTTGACACAAAAATAAATTATCCATACTTTTTTCCTCAGCAACAGATCAGATCAATCAAAAAATGGCCGAGGAAGTAATACTCCACAACAAGGTATTAAATGAGCTGGAGGAGAAATACAATAAGTACAGGGATGTGGTTTGCCACATCCAGGAGACACTGGATTCTGTAAAGTGAGTAACATGATAATAATATTTATACAAATTACTGTTTGCCATATATATTTATTAAACAATTTAATTGTGTTGTTCTAAAATAAAACTATATTATAAGTAATAATAGTTGTGTTATAATACTAAAACTGCCAATCTATGGGGAGGCCTATGTCCAGGACTTGATGTGATACGTGTGCTGTAGTGATAATGTGACTAAAACTCAGCAACCATATTTTATGTTTTCATTATTGCTTAGTGTATTCATTTGAGAGGGAGGTTGGTGACAGTTAAATTAATTTATAATAATAGCTTGTACTTCTTCATTACCGCATATAATCCTATAATAATTGGGTAGAATTGCTGCAAATGCAGGTGCATTGACAATCAAAGTACTAGATGATGTCCAAACAGATGTCCCACAGCTTTAACGCCTGTTTATTTATACGACACCATATTTGGACATAAGCCTAATCGGAACGTTTGGCGATGAAAGAATAAATGAGAATGGTGAAGACCTCCTCACCGTATGTGTGGAAAAGAATATTTTTGTGGCGAACACTTTCTTTCGCCATAAGAGGATTCACATGTATACATGGGAAAGAGGGGATGATAGAAGCATGATAGATTTCATAATTGTGGATGAAAGAATGAGGAGCGCTGTGGTAGATACAAGGGTTTACCGGGGGTCCAACGTAGGGACGGATCATTACTTGGTCTTATGCTGAATTAATGGTCTACCATTGCGTTACAGCGTATAAGAATAGAGAGGTTACAAGATGAAGGTGTGAAAGAGAAGTATAAATGCAGACTGAGGGAAAATATAAGTGGGTTGAATGAATTATGTATGAATGATTTAGACTTGAAGAATGTATGGAATGAAATGAAATTAAGAAAGTTTTGGTAGATGCAGCCACCGAAGTATGTGGTGTAAGTAAGAGAACGAATGAAAGGAAAAGTAATACGTTGTGGTGGGATGATGAGGTACGGATGGAAGTTGAAGCAAAGAAGAGAGCATGGCTAGATTTACTAGCAACTAAAGCTGGTAATTCTGGCGGTATGAATGATGAGATTGAAAGAGAAAAGTAAGACTTTAGACATATGAATAAGAAAGTAAAAGAAGTTGTTGAAAGGAAAAAGCAAGAAAGGATAGATAAGAATGATAGAAGGATATCTGATAACTTCCAGGCAAATATTAAAATGTTCTGGAAGCTCGTAAGAACTGCCAGGGGAAATTCAAAACAGCATAGAATGAATGCTACACGAGACGAGAATGGCTGCATGCTGAATGATGAAGTTTCAAATTTAAAGAGATGGAAGGAATACTTTGAAAGTGTTGTCTGAAGTAAGTGAAATAAAAATTCCGGAAGAAGTGGAGAGAGGTAAGGAGATAAGTGTAGATGAAATAATGAAAGCAATGAAAAGCATGAAAAGAAGGTAAGGCATTCGGATATGATAGAATATCACACGAAATGCTAAGGGCTGGGGAGGGTGTGGTTGCAGGCCTGCTGTGCACCTTGTTTAATTTATGTTGGGAACTGAAGCGGTTACCGGAATACTGGTGCAAAGCCATTATAGTCCCAATATATAGGGGAAAGGGCTTGCAGCAAGACTGTATAAACTACCGTGGTATCAGCTTGCTTGGCATTGTGGGTAAACTGTATGCTAAGGTGTTAATTGAAAGAGTTATGGAACAAACTGATGGAAAATTTGGGATGTGCAAGCTGGATTTAGAAAGGGGATGGGGTGTACGGATTAAGCCTTTTCCATGCTCATGATTGCGGAGAAGTTTTTGGCCAAAAACCAGAAAGTTTTTTGTGTGTTCATGGACTTGGAAAAGGCTTATGACAGAGTGGACAGGAATGTGTTATGGCAAACACTGAACTCATTTGGGTTGGGCGCTGGCTTGATACAGGCATTAAGATCTCTTTATAGGGACTTTAGTGCTTGTGTCAGGATCAACGGGGTCTACTTGGACTGGTTTGGTATTCATAAAGGTGTCAGACAGGGATTTGTGGCTTCCCCGTGGCTGTTTAACATATTTATGGACAGTTGTTTGCAAACTTTGAAAGTTGAAGAATGTGGGTTGAGAATGGGTGAGTTAACCGTCAAATGCCTTTTGTACGCCGATAATCACGTCATATTTGCATCGTCGGCGGCCGAGTTGCAAATGATGGTTACTTTAATGAACTGGTCATTGAAAGAAAGGGGTATGAAAGTGAGCGCAAGTAAGACGAAAGTGGTGGTTTTTTAAAGAGAAGAAAGTGTTTTACTTATGTGAAATAAGAATAGATGGGGAGTTGATTGAGCAAGTGGATGAGTTTGTATATTTGGGATGTTTATTTAGCAGGGATGGTAGATATGATAAGGATATAGAATGATGAGTGAACGCAGGAAATAGAGTAAATGGGGCTCTACACACTATTATGAGGAGTCAGAATGTGTCAAATAAGGCATGTATGGCAATTCATAATGCTGTGTTAGTCCCTACTTTAATGTATGGTAGTGAAAGTTGGGTCTGGCAGAAGCATGAGAGTAGAGAATAAATGCTGTAGAAATGCGGCCCTTAAGGAGTATGCTAGGGCTGAATCTGAATGACAGGGTGAGAAATAGTGTGATAAGAGAAAAGTGTTGTGTACAAGATGACGTTGTGACAAGGATTAAGAAAGAAATGCTTCGGTGGTTTGGTCATGTAGAAAGAATGAACGAGGAAAGAGTGACAAAGCAAATTTATGTTGCAGAAGTGGACGGCAGGGTCGGGAAGGGACGCCCTAGACGAAGGTTTATCGACCAAATCGGCGATACACTAAAAATGGGCCAGATTAGGAGTACTCTTAACCGACGAGAGTGTATGCGTAGATATATGGATGTAAAGGAGGCGAGAGAGGTGTGTCAGAATCGCGCCAAATGGAAGTCCGTAGTCTCTGCCTACCCCTCTGGGTGACAGGCGTGAGAGTTTGTGTGTGTAAGCCGAATCGGTGATGGCATCATCTGCCATATTAGGTTATACAGGGTCACTGGGAACTCGACATCTTGCTGGCAGGGCATGATAGGGAAGTCAAAATGTTACAAATTTTTCCTCCCGTATGTAAGGCCGAAAATAAAGAGGTCTTGAGATATAAGGATTTGAAAGATTTTTAGATTTTTAATTTTAGATTTTTTTAGAATAATTACCTAGAATTTTGTATTAAATTCTAAATAATTTTTTTTATAGGATAAGGGTGACAAACGAGCACAGTCCACCTGATGGTAAGTGGTTGCTGTGGCCCATAGTCATCTACATCTATCTTCCAATAAGAATCAAAATGCAGATGCGTTGTCACCCGTGAGGGCTAAGATGGAATGCCTCGTTTCCAGTAAAAAGGGTCTCCAGTTCTCTACACTCACCATACGAAAGACAGCAGCGTTAAGCTGCTATTTTACGCTGGTATTCTGTGAAAGCATGGTCCTTCCCCGGTCGAGCCGACCCATTCGGGTCACAACTATACTACTAATATAGCTGCAGCATGGCTCTACCACATATAAAAAATATAAAAAAAACATTTTTTTGTATGATTTCTTTTAAGTTGAGCAGAAGTTCTGTTTAGAGAAATAAGAATTCGATAAGTGGTTATTATTCAATTTACATTCTTATGTTTTATTCCTTACAGTGCAAGGCTTCTTCATAAAGTATAAAACATACTGCTCTAAAAATATTATTTTGATTAGTTTCCTTATTAATTCGTTACTAATTTTGCTGCAGGGCCCCACTGCTGGGCGTAGAGTACTTGGTCGAACATCCGCCAGAGCAGGCACACTACGAGCCCTCGTATTTGTGCGTGCTTTGTTCCAAACAAGGCCATCCGCGCACCATTGTCAATCACTTGACTTGTTATTGGCATCGATTGAATTACCTCGTAAGTAATCCCCTCTTCTTATTTTGGAAAGACTGTTAGTTCACCTGCTACACTACAAAATGAGAAATATTACAAATTACTGAAATATGTTAACAACTTCCCTGTCTGCAAAAAAGAATATGACTCAAGGGACAGTGAAATGATTAAATATCTCAGACTCCTAAAGACTTAGACTTTTATATATCTAATTTTTCACAGTGTTGGTAAAACAACAGTAAAACATATTTTATCTCTACCCTATATTTTTATTACAATGATCTACATATTTAAATCTATCTATTTTTAAAATGTTTACACCTACAATGCAGTGTCAACGAATAATAAGTAAATACATTCTTCATGCGGCTAATTTAAAAATTTGTAATATTTCTCTCTTAAATCTGCTTACATAACACCATTTCTTTATTATTTATTACATGGTAATTCAGGCTTACCCAGGCTGCATGGGTTTTAGTAGCCACCTACCACCAGGTTGATTAATTAACATAGATTTACGACAGGCTCAAGACATCTTAGTTGGAGTCCTGAAATATAGGGACACCCTAGTTTAGGCTCCAGTCCGCCGCAAAAATATATTACATTTTTTTCTATTTATTATATTTCATATTTTCTTAAGTTTTGTTAGTAGACCTATCTATATACTTTTGTGGTGGAGAAATAAATATAATTTTCATTTCATTTCATTTTCATCGTAGTCCTTAAGCGTGAACCAGATTCCTTAGGTTGCAGAAGCTATCTATCTATTTTGTTGTCTATGCTCATTTGTCATTCTATAAAAAAAGTAATTTATTAATGATGGCGTCATCTGTGTCATTAGCTCCGTCACTTCAGAACAGCTTGCAACCTGCTGGGGCCATACCGCGGCGCGTCGAAGTATCGCGACGGCGTGCACACTGTCGTCAACCGACTGGCACAGCGCATCGACGACAAGTATGGACGCCTCAAACCCGCAAATATCGAAAAAGAAGAATTTGAGAAGGAAAAGTAAGTATTTTTCAAGAACTTTAGTTGTAATAATGATAAGTAATGTAAGAGCCGTGGTAGCTCAAATGGTTAGCGCTCGCTGTAAGCTTCACAAAACTAGAGCAACCCGGGTTCGATCCCCGCCGGCACCAATGAAATTGTTAATTGCAATTTTAAGTGCTAATTTATCACGTGCTCGACGGTGAAGGAAACCTGCATATCTGAGAAATAAGAAAAAAATATTTGAAAGACATTTGAAGTTCGCCAACACACATTGGGGCAGCGCGGCGGATATTTCCTTGCCCTAAAACCCTCTCAGGAATGAGAGGAGGCCTGTTCCCAGCAGTGGGACGTAACTAGGCTGCAACTTTACTTTTACTTTTTAATGTAAAATGAAGTTTTTTTAAAATTATGTTTGATGAAGTTTTTTTTAAATTATGTTTGTTGTTACATATACTTCGACAAAACAGTTACAGTTAGAGGCTCACTTTTGGACCTTTCAAAAATATATATATTATTTTTATGTTAAGTTTAATATTGTATTTTAATGTTATATTGTTTTTACCTTAAATATCATATAATATTTTATATTAATGTATACCGTGTAGTTGCGGTGTAAGTATATTCATCCTGTGGGTGTCGTAAGAGGCAACAGAGGCAAACTAACCATGAGATGGAAATTGGTAGCATCTTCTTAACAATTTTTCTAATAAAACACTGTGGTTGCCAACTTCCCTGCCAAGCGTAATATTCGTAGTATATCTGTCTATCATGAGGCAATCTATGGGGAGGCCTATCTTCAGCAGTGGATTTATATCAGCTGTAATGAATGAAGGAGAATTGTTAATTTATCCAAATATGCAACAGTATTTATATCCTAAAAATTCTAAAATGTCTGTGTAACTTCATTATATTTGTTTTTATTATTTTCTTGTCTTTATTATATTATTAACATCTGGATTTTGTTTTTAAAATTTAGATTTTTTTATATTACTGTATGTTTAACATACTGAATATTCTAAATATTCAAACTTTTAATAATATATATATAGCAACTATGTACAATCTATTTAAATTATTTGTAGAGAACGCATTACTCAGTGGATCTTTAAGGGCTTTCATTATTCGGAAGTTATATCCTAAAAATTCTAAAATGTCTGTGTAACTTCATTATATTTGTTTTTATTATTTTCTTGTCTTTATTATATTATTAACATCTGGATTTTGTTTTTAAAATTTAGATTTTTTTATATTACTGTATGTTTAACATACTGAATATTCTAAATATTCAAACTTTTAATAATATATATATAGCAACTATGTACAATCTATTTAAATTATTTGTAGAGAACGCATTACTCAGTGGATCTTTAAGGGCTTTCATTATTCGGAAGAATGTGGTAACACTTTTGAGGAGATTGTGGATGTAGACCTGATCAAGTCCTTGGCCCTACCAGGTGAGATTATCACAAAGTACTCGCAGATCATGTACAAGATACCTAATTTCATTGTAACTTTTTTCAAATATTTTTTGAAGATTAAATAATATTTATTAAAATTTGGATATCATCTTACTCATTCAATATGCAAAAGTTTATCCTTTAGCACTTCCATTGAATATTAGCATTTATGTTTAGCCTTATGGAATTAGATACCTATTTTGATACTATTAGCGATAACACTTATGATGAATTTATTAAATAAACTCATCACAACAGTAACCAGATTTGTAAAATGAGTTACATTTTACAAATCTGGTTACTGTTATACAAATAACAAAAAAATATTGATGTTGGTTTTGTTGAACAGGTGGAGGCGGCAAGAGTGGAGAGAGGTAAGTAATACTTATATTGTATTTTAAGACTGTTTAAAATTTAAATATTCTTTAATTTAATTGGAATTTTCTTTTTAGAAATCCGTCTCCTCCCGTAGTGCCAGCACCTACTAAACCACAGCCCAGCAATACTATTGTAAGTTTCTTAAATTTAATATTTGTTAACATATAATATTTTAATACCATTTTTAAATTCAGGAGACTAAAAATCGGTTTTATTTTTTACTATTAGTAATCGTAAAATCGTATTAGATATTTTACCTGTTTGACGCTCTAAATCAGATTGTTTTATTTGACATATCCTTAGGTTGCGCACATGTTTGTCAGCAACAATCATAATGTAGAATATGTTATCACCTTTGAGGACTACAATGTGATGCTTGGCTATTAAAAGGGCCCTTGGTTCTTGTTACTAGAAGTCATAAACGAAACATTGCCACATGATGAGATTATTGTTCCTTGTCAAACAATCCGACGTAATTGTGCTGAAGCCTTAACATTGCTGCAGTGGGGTTCTGCTACATGCATACTGACCTGCATTTATTGTTTCTGATTTGTCATTTATTATAATTGTTGTTTATTTTGTTCAAAACTTGCTGCACATATAGAAGTAATTTTAATAAACATTTACTGAATTTTAAAAAGGAGAACTTTAATTCTATTCAATTTTCTTCCTTTTGTAAGAGTAGTAAAAATTTCATTTTCTAATAGGAGCATAATTTTTCATTATTGTCACGTAAAATTCAACCATATACGATAACAATTGAATTAGGTAGATATTTAGCAGTTTAGCACATACCATATGTTCTTGTTACTTGTAAAAAGTTTTTGATGTGTGTTTATGCAGCGCGGGGGTGGTCGGCAACTGCGTCGCGCTAACTCCGCGGAGTCGCTGTCCGACGTCAGCGACGAGGAGATCCAGCGCCCCTCGGACCACGCGCGACCCACCTATAGGTATTGTTTTTTTTTGTTACCAGTGGCGACATAGCTTTCGGCCAAAATATGATCAGTATTATGCATTATGCAAGTTATCGGTAAGCATGTAGAGTATCGGTTAACTGAAATAAAAAAATCCAATTTATTGCGACAGTGGCTACAAGGATTTTAACCAAAAGAACTATTATTATTTTGTATTAGGGATGTTACGTATTTGGAATAATCGGACAACCGAAAAAATATAACCAGATTCTAATTATTTCCAATTTTACAGAATATTAGCCATTCTTTAAAAATATCTTCCAAAATATTAATTTTAACTATTTGAAACAATGTACAACACGTTCGGAAGTTCATGCCTTATTAGAAAAAAAATGTTGTTCATATTTCAGAGGGAAATATGAACCTCTACGCAAGCCATCCTATGAACCATACCCGGATAAAAATGCCTCCTCATTTCGCTCTCGTTATGCGATAAGAAATGTTGTTGAGAAGACCGCCGATAAGGTAAGCATTACTTAATTGAAGTATTGGTTGTAATATCGAAATTTCATTAAAATATTTGCTATCTAAAGTAGACATTTCCTTAGACTTCTTAAGTCTAAGGAAATGTTTACTTTAGATACAAACTGCGGCCAAAAAACTGGGTATTTTAAACAAGGTGCAGCGATATTCACGCCTGGACAGCTTCTAACTTTATACATAGCTCAAGTCCGAACATGCATGGGGTATTATAGTCACCTTTGGGATGGCTCAACAAATTCTCAACTTGCCGCACTCGACTCAGTGCAACCCAGAGCAAAGAAGCTTATTTGTGACAAAAAGTTGGTGGAAACTAAGCTCCACAGCTTAGCTCACGGCCGCCAAGTTGATTGTTAAAAAAAGCATTCTCTAATGCAGGCGATAGGATGGCCTGTATGAAGAATTGGGAGGATTTGACTTAATTATTAAATAGTCATGGTAGGAACTTGGATTTATCAAACGCTATTTACACAAAAACTTGAATACTTTCTTGGTGTGGATATCTATCCTTAAATTACCTGTCATCGGGGAGTAACAACGGACTAAAATATACATAAGCTCTTGCTTCAATACTGACGTTATAATAGCAGTCATCTATTATTATTCCTTATTAATGCCTTTGCCAAAAAACGTCCTGCCATAATTATATATCGTTCTCACAAAACGAAATAAAATTAACTCTTCAACAATTATTCTCACTCTTCTCACTGTAAAAATTTAGGTGAAAACTTTTTCGATACCGACGGCGTAAAGATTACATAAGTTACGTCTCGAACGATCGAAATTGCCGCTCGCACTCGCAAAATACTTGAAACAACCAATCACGTTCGTTAACGTTCTCACTGTCGAATGCGATTCAGTACTCGATGGTCGATATCGATCGCTCTCGATCTTGACTGATCGACTTATTAAACTAGCACTCATGAATTGTGATTCCGATTATCGCCACTAGTTGGCACTGATTTTATTCCATACAAATCGTAGTTAACTTTCCCGGGATTGAACACGTAAAAAAATTCGCACTAGGCACGCAGATTGTCATCACCCCATTGGGAGACGAGGCTTAAGGTCGCATTTATCCGCTCCACCATGTATGATCGCTCCACGATGAATGTCGGAGATCGGAATAAAATATTCAATTTCCTGCCGTATCACATCCACAACCGTATTGGCAGAGCAGGAGGATTCAGAAAATATGCCGCAACTCATCCCAGTCTGCCGACTCGTATCGCCATACTCCTCGTGCCTGCTGGACAGTCATCGGGAGGAGATAATCGATACGGATTTCACCTGACAGTGATCGGATGATCCCAGATCTATACTGGTCAAAAGGTTCAAGCAATTGGGTGTATGTCCGGCTACATCTGGTACCCGCGTCGCTACTTGAACCAGTTGAGTGAGATCTAGCGATAACGCAAATTTGCGCGCCTCTCTCGCAGCATGGTCAGCTTTCTCGTATGGGAACCACCACTCTTTGTGGTGGGCGTTAAAATCCCCGAGAAAAACTAGCTCCGCAGATGGATAACAACGGTATCCACTTTACCTGACATCCCTGTCAGATGTTCAATGAGCCTGGTCGTCTCCTGGTCTCCGTTGTGCAATCGATAGACACAAGCATAGAAGGTGTTCTCTACAATGGTGTACACCAAAAGCCACATTGTAGAAAACCCTGAAACCTCAAAGCAACGGAGACGCCGACAGCAATTGTCGTCGCGGACGTACACACAGAGACCCCAGCGCGCTGTTTAAACTTATGTTCAACCTAGTAACATGAGTAGTTGAGGTACACCACATCAGACGGAGTTGCTATCTGCGTCCCCTTTAGAAAGAATAGGTGCGACTTCTCGGTCTCGAGGTGGGCCGGATCGAGGTTAGTGTGCAAGTTCAACCCTCTGATGTTCGTTAGGTGCACTATAAGCGGGAGGAACTGATGACCCTTCTGTCCCCCAAAGGCATTGGTTCTCCCGTTCACAGATGGAACGCAGCGAGCTGCTTCGCGCCTGACTCCGACGGGAGGGTGGTAGCAAGCCAGGCGGTCCCTTGCGAGGCCTACCAACGCACGATGGGATCTTCAGCAGTCACCACACGCTAAAGTAGCCAGTGATGCCGTTGCCCGGGGTGTACCGCTCAGAGGTAGATCCCAGCCACCCCATAGAGTGATTCGAACACTTTAACTGTTAGACTTCCCTGACCTCTACAGTATATGAGTGGATTTTGATACGTAGTAAAGGTGGTGCGATTTTGTATATTAAATGTCTGCATATGAACTATTAGTGGAAACGATGAAACAGGCCTGATATTGTGAACCTCAAGGTAATGTCTGCTTAGGCGTCTTGAGATACTATCATCATCGACTGTCTGCTGGCTCAAACTGCCGTCAAAATCTCCCAAAAACTAAAAGTTTTTAAACTATTATTATTAAGTATAATTTCTTTTTACTTGTCACTAACAAAAGTTCAAGCAAGTCCATTAATTTATAAACAAAAATTCTTTAAATCAACTTTTTATATTTAGACGCCGAAACAGTCAAATCATTCATACAAGGTGAAACTAGCTGAAGAAAAGAAGCAGACTTTAATAGAAGCCGCTAAGAAGACTCTAGCCTACCACGAAAAGAATCCGGAGAAACATCCCCTGTATCCTGAGGAGTGGAAGAAATTCTGGAACAAACGCTACAAGGAAATACAGGCTGGTTAGTCTTGACTTAACTGGATCGTAATGATTTCTTATATTTACGCGAACACTACACATTAAATGAAACTAATTTTACGGATTCTATCGTGTTTAATTTAACTTTTAAATTTTACGTTCGTTACAATTTTACGTTCGGTGCACCGACGTTCCGGGAAGATTGCATTCTGTGAACATGTTCAACATCGTCCCCGCCATTATATTAGATTTGATAGACCACAAATCCTCGCAAAAGAACCCCGATTCCTACCAAGGATGATTCGCGAGGCTATTGAAATTAAAAAAAACATCAGGAAGTTAATTTGTTAGGAAAATTTGTGCTTTAATGTTTTTTTTTGTAATATTAGCTAAATTTTATGTTAATTACATTAGAAATTAATAAACCAAACTATTGGTATTCCTATAAGTTAAATAAAAAAAGATTAATAAACCAAACTATTGGTATTCCTAAGTTAAATAAAAAAAGAGTTTAAAAGAATGTGCAAAACGTTAAGGAACAAACCACTGAGGCATTAGACAATAGTGTTTTTATATAATAAAACCTCCTCTCATTACTGAGAGGGTTTTAGGGCAAGGAAAGGTCCGCCGCGCTGCCCCAATGCGTTATGGCGAACTTCACATGTCTTCGAAATATATATTTTTTTTCTTATTTGTCAGACATGTAGGTTTCCTCACGATGTTTTCCTTCACCGCCGAGCACGTGGTAAATCAGCACTTAAAATTGTAATTAACAATTTCATTGGTGGCGACGGGGATCGAACCCGGGTTTCTCGCGTACTGTGAAACTTACAGCGAGTGCTAACCATCTGAGTTACCCCGGCTCATTTTACAAATATAACTTTTATTTTTATAACATAATCGTAAAATACTGGTATTCAGTTGAATCCGGTTTGACTGGGAGCCGACCCCAATATAGTTGGGAAAAAGTCTAGGCAGATAATGAATCGTACATAATATATATCGTAGCAGGTGGCGTTCTGTAGTTCTGCCTACCCATACAGAAAAAGGAAAACATTTTTTTTCATTCACGCCATCTAGTGTTCAATTTTCGTAAATGTAGGGACTAAGAATTCACCCACGTCGGTGTGTGTAAACGACACTACATTCAATGACAAATGTTAATTTGACCATTGTGTTGAATTGTGTGGATTTTGAGGCAATGATATGACCTAGTAAAATAAAGTATAATGTCCGAGTATAGCGATTGCTACTTCTACGACTTAATAATGTTCCAATTACACAAAAACCCAAATAAACTAAAAAATTATGACTTCAGCGCCATCTTGTGGGAATATGGCCGGGAACAGACCGTATGTTTCACCTTAATGACAACACACAATCGCTTAGCAGTACACACCTGTTTAATTATTGTCCCTAAAATCTGAACTTTTTTGCCAACAAAACTAAAATCTGTATATTTTAAAAATCACTGAACTTAATGAATTATCCTAAAATATTTTTGATTTCAGTTTTGAACTTGATTTACTATCGGTTCTATTCATTTATTACTGCCTATAAAAGTTCACTGCTGAACATCATCCTCATCATCATCAACTGCATCAACAACATCCCACATAGATTGTCTCATAGGTATTGTTTCATTTTGTCTTAGATTCAACTTTGCTTGACTTTGCTTTGTTTGTGCGCAGCCTTAATCATTTGGACATATTCTAGAGGGTAAAGATCCTGCAAAACATGACTTCAAACCAGAGTGGATAGCGTTCTGGACAATCCGCATGAAGGAGCTGCACGACGAGGAGTTGCGCGTCAATGTCACGGAACTGTATCGCAAGTTGTGTCTACCGACGCCTGAGATAACGAGCTTTTGCGAGGTGAAGCTTTCTCCTGAGTCACGCAGGTCTACTAGTGTCAAAAGGCGATCCCCTAATGCCAGAAGTCGCTCGCCTACTGTTAAGCGGCGATCTCCTGATTCTAGAAGACGATCACCTGACCCCAGAAGGCGATCGCCGGAGCTCAGAAGGCGATCGCCTGATTCTAGAAGACGATCGCCTGACTCTAGAAGGCGATCACCTGACCCTAGAAGGCGATCACCAGACTCGAGAAGGCGATCGCCAGACCCGAGAAGGCGATCGCCTGACCCTAGGAGGCGATCGCCAGATCCTAGGAGGCGCTCACCGGACCTCAGGAGGAGATCTCCAGATCCAAGAAGGCGATCACCTGATCTCAGAAGACGCACGCCTGATCACAATAGGCGTCAATCACCGTTCAAGCGAAAATCACCTCTTCCAAGGCAGAGGACCCCGGAAAGAAGACGGTCACCGCCTGAATTTCAACGAGATAAAAGGTTCGACATCTAGAAATAAATGCTAAATAGTTTTGTTTTTATAGTACAGTACCCATTCAAAGTGTTAATGTAGTCTTTTTAATATAGAATAGAACTAGACGGGTATAATGGAACTAAGATGTGATATTTTAATATAATATTACAAGTAAAATGACAATAACATAATATACAAATTAGAAGCAGAAAGAAGTTGTTGGGTTATGCTGCTCAATTTTTTTGTGTCGTTGTCAATTTAGTTTTATGAATGTGTGCGTGCGTGCATACGTGTACGTGTACGTTTACATACGTACGTATATACCTATGTGCGAACGTACGTGTGTGTGAATATTATTTTTTAGCAGTTATAAATAATACCACATTGTGGCAATAGGTCCCTACCGCGTCGTCCCACTCCAGAGCGCACCTTCAATCCGCACCGCTCCAGGAGCCCAATTCAGAGGTACGTACACAGACTTTTATATTAGGTTTTTACCTATGTAATTGTCGTTGATGAAATAAGTTACGTAATTTTTTTCTATATTTTTTATTTCTATTAATCAAAGTAATCACGCATGCAATCGATTCATCTTTGCCAACGCAGTGGCAGTTAATTGATGCCCTTCTTGACGAAATCAGCTGGACGGGAGGCAATAAATTCTTCAAAGGAATTTTGTACTGCCTCTCGGGTATTGATTTTTTTCCCCCCAACAAGTTATCCAAATTCTGGAAAAAGTAGAAATCTGTAGGCACAAGGTCTGGTGAGTACGGCGGGTGACAGAGAGCTTCCAACTCTCGTAACTTGTAGACCGTCTATTGTGCAGTATGAGGTCGCGCGTTGTCGTGCAGGAGCAGTGGGAACGAGCGATTGAACAAAGTTGTTTGAAGACGTGCGAGCTTCTCCATCATTGTATTTAGTTCTTCACAGTACATATCTGCAGCAATGCTCATCTCATTTGGTAAAAAGCTATGATGAATCACACCGGCGCTAGACCACCAAATAGTGATCATCACTTTTCTAGGGGTAAGTTTTCGTTTAGGTGCTGAACTATGATCCAACCAACTAGCTTGAGCGCTTGCGATTGTCAAACAGAATACATTTTTCGTCGCAGATAAAAATGCGGTTCAAAATACCTTAGTTTGTGTGCCTGTGCAAGGCACGTCTCGACGCGTACTTTGCGCTTGCGATATTTGAGTTCGTGGGGCACCCATTTGTCAAACTTTATTACCTTGCCAATTTGACGCAAATGGACCAATATTGTTTTGATGCTAACGTAGAAAGCTGCTGATAATTCAGCCGTAGATTGAGTAATCTACGGCTTCCACAATCGCTTTTAATTCGTCATTGTCGACCGAAGTTTTCGGACGACCACGGGGTTCATTTTTCAGGTCGAAATTTCCAGAACGGAAGTGGGCAAATGCGGCGATGCGTTCGTTTGTAGTATTCGCTCCGTAAACGTCGTCGATGATGCGCGCCGCTTGTGTCGCGTTGCTGTCACGACGGTACTCATATTCCATAATTACTCGAATTTTCAACGTATCCATGATGACGAAAAAGATTCAAATGCGATAAAAACATAACGCTAATCAATAATCTAATGACTAATTTTTAAAAAAGAAAACCATGTTTTTAAAATAAAATTAATTTGAAATTGGAATTCTTACCCAAACAAAAATTATTTTGATTTGAAATGGCTAATACTGCAGAACGGCAATTTCATATGTAAATACCTATTAATCTACGTTTTGTCAACCTATAAATAAAAAATTACTTGGATTACCCTTAACATGCTTAAAATTTGCGCAGAATTTGTTTAACTATTTCTTTTTCTCGCAAAGTTTTCTAGTCTTAGAATGTCTTGTAAGATATTTAAAAAAGATCATTTGGAATATAATTTGTTCACAAATTGACGGTCCACGAAAACAATACCGGTATGAACTTGGTTTACTTACGCTAACTTGGTTTTTACGTGGTAGAGCCATGCTGCAGCTATATTAGTAGTAGGCCGTATACAGAAAGAAAGCCGGCAGCCGTCACCGATCTACCAGCGCTTATCGGCGCTGGTCTATTCTGGTAACAGTTACATAAAGCAAGCCGATTGAAGCAGAGCGAGCAAAATGTCGTACTCATCGGACGATGAATTAGTTTTGTTAGAAAATGTGTATTTGAAAATGCGAAAATAAGCTATATTAATATTCCTACCTACCCTATTAATAGAGAAAGGAAACGTCACTATTCATTTCTCTATTTAACAAAAATATATGCGTGTCGTAGTTGAACGTGTTGTCGTATAGTTGTTCATTAATTTTAAATGGCGGGCGGCGCCAGCGCTGACCGACGCGTGTCGAAGATTGTCGGAACTTGTAGGCGACGTTCGGCGCTTATCGACGCTTATCGGCGCCTTTTCATATAAATTCCTGCGCCGGTTACCTGCGTGGACCGGTCCCTATAAGCGCTGATAGGCTGCCAGCTTTCTTTCTGTATACGGCCGTATAGTTGTAGTACGAATGGGTCGGCTCGACCGGGGAAGGACCACGCTCTCACAGAAAACCAGCGTGAAATAGCAGCTTAACGCTGCTGTGTTTCGTATGGTGAGTGTAGAGAACCGGAGACCCTTTTTACTGGAAAAGAGGCATCCCATCTTAGTCCTCACGGGTGACAATGCATCTGCTATTTGATTCTTTATTGATGATAGATGTAGATGTCTATGGGTCACAGTAACCACTTACCATCAGGTGGACTGTGTGCCCGTTTGTCACCCTATCCTATAAAAAAAAAGTACAGCGGGTTACCTGAGTTGTGCTACAACTAGAAAGGATTTTTGGTGAACCACTTAAGTAACATTCCATGAGTATGCAGATTTCTCTTATTATTTCTAAACCAGTCTTTAGAGTGTTGATCGGCTTATTAAGTTTGTGTAGTGGTATTAACGCTCAAAATTGGCGTGTCAAATTATTCAAAGTTATCTGTACTCCCTTTGACTTTATTTTTTGCATAACATTATTCTGCCAACTTAAAAAAAAAACATAATTCAGTTTAATTGTGTTTTAAGTACATAAAAAAAATGAGATGAAACATACTACATAACAAAAGTTGTCGATTTGTTTAACTATTATATTTTTTAAATATTAGAGAGTTATTTCAATTGTTTTTTCATTGGCCGTGTTTCGTATGATTCAAATCGGATACTCTTTACTGGTATTTAGGCATGCTATTTTAGTCTTCAAGTGAGACACAACGCATCCGCATTTTGATTTTTAATCCAGGGTAGATGTAGATATTTAACGGGCCACAGCATTAATTCACCATCAGGCGAGGTACTCTGTGCCTTCTTGTACGCCCCCACATAGTCCGGTCAAATTAGACCAAAAATAGTAGTACGGTTTCAAAAATTCGCATATAGTTGAATCGCCATCAGAAGAGGATTCATATGCTATCACCGAAAAGACATTTGACCCATGGCTGTTAGGCCAATGTACCTAGGAAGAAGAAGAACAACAAGAAGAAGTATTATTATTTTATATATTTATTATATTAGACGGTTATGAATCAGACGAATAATTTTCCCTACTTTTTCAAGATTCACACCGGTTATTTCCAATAGTATTATTTTTTATTATTAAGTACTATTAAATTAACAGGATCACAATAGATCGTAGAATAGGCTTGCCGGGGAAACCACGTTAAAAAAACGCACCAAGTACACTACCTCGCAAGTGGCGTGGAAACGTGTGCAATAAGAATAATTTTTTGAATCGATATATCTTAGAAATTATGAATTAAGATAAAAAGTGTTGAGACAATTTTTGTAGATAATTGCATGATCCACAATCTTTGTCTGATCTAATTTTATGATAATACTTACCGTTTGGTTGAAAAACGCAAAAAAACTCATTTTTGCGAACTTTGACCTTGAATAAATCTTTGTAAGGGTGGGATCGATGGAAAATTTTTACATTTCATTTATAATAGTATTCCGAACATTCGTACCAATTTTCAGTTGTATGCGAGTTTTTGTAACTTTGCATGTCTAATTTGTCCGGACTACACACAGTCCCATAGATTTTGTGTCGCGGTTTCTGTTCTAGTAAGTGTAATATTTATTGCAATTCATTAACGATACATGCTTTTGAAATAAAATTTTATTTTAAAGCTTATTTTTCATGAAACACACGGACAAAAGAAATAGCCTTAAGGGCTAGAACCTTACACTAATAAATTATGAATATTAAATTAAATTCGTTCATTAAACTTTAAATAAAAGAAAGGAAAGATTATAAATCATTCGTATCTTAATCTAAAATCTAAAATAAATAAATAAATTAAATAATATAAATTAATCGTATTACAAATTACGATGTATTCGTCGTTCATATCGGTATCGTAATTGCCCTATCGTTTCGTCACTAATAAAATATGTTGTATTGTATTGTATTGTATTGTTGTGTGGCAGGCGCGCGAGCCCGCTGTCGCAGCGCGCCGCAGCACGCAACAGCAGCCCGCACGCCACCGCGCCCTCCATGCAGACCGTGCTCATCTCCGACGACGAGCTCAAGCCGTGAGTACTGTTCTCCCAGCTATCACAACACATGCGGCCTTATTAACCCGTTCCCAGCCCGAGCAGAATGCTGCGGCACTCTGCGCTCTGGAATTAAATTTTCGCAATCTTATAGTGTTCTCCAGACTGAATTTCGGTCACAGAGGCGAGGTGCCTGGTTAATTGAAGAAATATGTATTGTCGATATCAAATAAACTTAACAATTTCTTGATTTTACTAAACTGTTTCCTGAAAGACAGTTATACTAGCTCCCCTGAGCTAGTATAACTGGAATAAAAATAATGTAACCAGGGAATCAATGACTTCATGAAAGAATGTGTTATAAATAAATTAAATAAACTTTTGTGTCTATCTAACAGCACAAATCCTTTAAAATAGAGAGTTACTATTTGGTTGAGATCTGGACGCGTATTGACTAAAATCAATTAAAACTCTTTAACTATGTAACCCTTAAGTAAGCAAAAAGATGCGCGGTGCCATTACATCGTAAAATCAATGCAAAAATTGAAGTGTCCTTTTTGTAGTTATTACAAAATAGCAGAATATAATTTTTGTTCAATAAAGACATGACTTTCAATAATTTAAACTGCATTAATAAGATCAGAGTATTCTCGAGCCAAGACGATAAAAAACAAGATCTTTTGTATCCCCAATCCATCAGCCAAGCCAAGCTTAGCAACTACGAGATGTATTAACACATTGAAGAAAAAGTCATTGGAATAAATAATTTTCCCAGCGATTGGATAACAAATCTGTAACCTTGATGAATGAATGAATGAATGAAAATACTTTATTGTACACCACAAACTAATAAACAAATTACATAACAATAGACAGGTTAAATGTACAATTTGGCGGCCTTATCGCTACATAGCGATCTCTTCCAGGCAACCAATGGTATAAAGGAATAAACAATGAATACTGGGTAGGTGGTGCAATATAATTATCTACACTAATATTATAAAGAGGAAAACTTTGTTTGTTTGTTTGTTTGATTGTAATGAATAGGCTCATAAACTACTGGACCGATTTTAAAAATTCTTTCACCATTCGAAAGCTACATTATCCACGAGTAATATAGGCTATATTTAATTTTGAACAAAAATAGGGTTCCGTAAGATATTAGGGTTTTTCGGACACAAGGTGTAAAAAATCAACCAAAAAAGTTACTTATTTTGCGTACCCTGCCTAAACTATTAAAGATAGAACCATAAAATGTTCTAAGTAATTGTAGATCTTATAAATATCTACAAAAAAGTCCGCGACACACTATACCTATCTATGTCGAGTGAGGCACAATAACCATTTTTTTATTGAAAAATCTTGATATTTTTTTGGACTACATTTAAACGCGTTTATTTTACTCATGCTATTAATCCTTATCAAAATAAATTATTTCATCACTAAGTACAGTTAATGTAGATAATATTTGGTCTTTGAATGATTAAAATTGGACGTTTGGTTCTGAAGTTATAGCGAAATTAAAATATTACGATTTCTGCTGCACGGCCCCGGAAGCCCCACAAAATTAAACTTCTCTTTTAGATAAGGAGGAGCAGAAGGATGAAATAATACACAGTAGAGAATAGAAAGAATATGCATGTTCCGGAAAAGTCGGATAGGTAACCACTTGAGACGTGAGCGAAATTGAGAAATATGGTCATATTTGCGCAATCCAAATATGAACCGAATACTAGTATTTTGAAGTCTCTCAAGCTTATTTAGCTGGTCCTCAGTTATGTCTACATAGCTTGCGTCAGCATAGTCGAGGATCGGAAGGAGAAGAGACTGTGCGAGCATAATTTTTGTAGGAATGGGAAGAAATGATCGAAGGCGACGCAGTGATCAAAGAGCGACAAAGGTTCTCTTACTTACCTCATTCAGTTGGCGTATCCAATTTAAGGAATTATCAATATAAATATCAAGGTTTTTGACATTGTCAAAGTAAGGGATTACAGCTCCATCGAATACTATAGGTGGTACGGTGAACCAATCAACTCTTGAGATAAAACTCTGGCTACCAATAATGATAGCCTGAGACTTTTTAGGATTCACATTTAGGCCATATGAATTACTCCAATCATGAATAATATTTAGATCGTTATTCAATGTAGCGATTGCATTCGGCAAATTCTCAAGAGTTGACTGTGTGTAAATCTGGACATCATCCGCATACATGTGGTAGAGAGAAGATATTTTATGAGTAATTGAATTAATGAAAATGGAAAAGAGTAAAGGTGACAACACGCCACCCTGCGGCACGCCTGCAGTAATATCACACCAAGATGAGTGAGTTTCATCGAAACGAATACACTGCCGACGGCCACAGAGATAACTTTGAAACCAGTTAATTACTGATGGAGATATGTAAGGGAACACAACAGACTCAACAGTATATCATAGTCAACAGCATTGAATGCATTACTGAAATCCAGCAAGGTCATGACTGTGAGTAGTTTATTATCCATACCCCATCGTATGTCATCAGTAACTTTGATTAAGGCAGTAGCCGTACTATGACCAGGACGGAAACCGGATTGTAAAGAATTTAATAAATTGTGCTCATTGAGGAAAAGGGTCAGCTGTTGGCAAATTAGTTTTTCAAGGACTTTAGAAAGGAAAGGTAAGATCGAGATGGGACGAAAATCAGAGTGGTTGACGGGATTAGATCTCTTCGGAAGGGGTATAACATGAGCACTCTTCCAGGCTTGAGGGAATTTAGAGGAAGAGACAGATGCATTAAGTAAATGAGTGATAATGGGAGTGATAACATCAAGGAGAGGAATAATCATATTACGGCTAATATTGTCGCTACCGACAGCATTTGAGGAGATGCATAATATGATCTTCTTAACATCACATACAGTAAACTGACTAAAAACGAACGGAGGATAATTAGGAGTCGGAATTACAGAAAGAGAACGAAGTGTTTGCAGTTTATGGACACTATCAAAAGAGTTAGAAGGATTAGAAAAATGTTGATTTAATAGTTCAAAATCAACACTAGGAGGTGAAACTTCCACATCCTAGATGAGTCGCCGTTCTCGGCTGATGTATGAATATGGCGTCGTTGTGCATCTCTACATAATGTGTTGCAGCGATTCCTGATTTTGTCGTATTTCCTTAAATTTTCATCTGTTCTATTCCTCTTAAGCTTTGACAATGCCGCATTCTTCTTTAAAATAAGCCTTTTCAGATCATCTGAGAGCCATGGAGCAGGCAAGTGTTTGAGTCTCACATAATGCATTGGCGCGTGAACGTCGTAAAGCTGCGTGAGTAGGGAACAAAAAAGTTCCACTTTATCGTCAATGCACGGAGCCTTCTCAATCACTGACCAGTCAATATTGAGAGCATCTTGACAAAGTTGGTCAATATCCATTCCTCCAAAGTTACGTCGCAGAACTAATTTAGGTTTGATTTTAGGAGGGCGTAGTTTATACGAAAGAAAAATTAAATCGTGATAAGAGAATGCATCAGCAGGACACTGTCCATGCTTGAAAACTAAATTTGAAGATGACACCATTATTAAGTCAAGAAGGGAAGGAGTACTGTTAGGAAAGTTATGAGTAGCAGAAAGGGGTAGGATTTGCATATTACACGCTTCAGTTATAGACTCAAGTTTTATAGCCCGATTGTCGCCTTTAAGTAAACAGGTGTTAAAGTCACCCATCAAAATAGTGTGACTATACGTAGGGACTAGTGATTCTAAGAGAGATTCGAAAGAAGTAAAATAGTTTACAGAAAGAGAGGGACTGTAGAAAACTCCAAGTAGGATTTTATTCTGAGACAGGGAGACTTCAACCAGCAAATGTTCAGCAGAATCAACAGGAGGTGGTTGACTTGACGAACTTACAATTTTAAATGGAAAGTAGGATCTAAGATAGATCGCCACGCCCCCACCACTCCTATTAGTGCGATCATTTCTAATTAGATGAAACCCAGGCAAAGAATAAGAAGTGGAAGGGAGACAGGGTTTTAGCCAAGATTCTGAAAATAAAATGGCGTGAATCTTTTGGGATTGAAATGACGCAAGCATGTCAGGATAATGAGCCGGAATGCTTTGGGCGTTAATATGAATAGCATTGAAGTTATTCACACAGTCTGAGAAACAAGAATTTAAGGTGATGTTGAGTGAAGGAGAAGCAGTTGTACTGTGATAACTAGCATCACTAAGTGTCTCATCATCTGAAGACAACGACAGAAACAAATCACTATCATTACAAATGTTTGAGGATGTCATAAATGCTATACTAAAATAAACAAAAAAATAAAAATAATATATATAAATATAAATGCAAAATCAAACAGAACCTACACTATTACAACCACCAGCAGCATGAAAGAGAAAGCATATAACAAAACAACAACTTAAAGAAATAAAACAATCAGTTTAGTATTAAAATTACCAAAAACTTGATGTAATTTCTTACTTAGATATTATCAACATCCATCAGCTTGTAAACAAGTAAAGGGGTTTTCAATAAGGGCTAGATGTTGAAATGAAATAAAACAAACTGTATAGAATATGACATAATTCTAAAGCCACGAAAGCCATGGGCCGCTAAAATCTACCCGCGTCTATTGAAAAACCCTTTAGCAAAATATTACATATTTGAACAAAAATTCCTTTTGACCAAGTAGTATTACTACATAAACACATTCTTACCCGTGGTGTACGCTTGTATGCAACATTTATTCACAAAAATTGCTTTTAATTTCGAGCGGCAGCTTGTACAGTGTACACAGCTCGGGCGCACGGTTACTTTTTGAATTATAAAATACACATACAAAAAAAAAATTAAGTGTCTGTCTGTAATATTGAATTTTTGTAATTTTTTTTCTAAATGAATGGTTGTTGGTTATAGTGACGATGGGCTATCACCGTGGAACTCTGACAACGACATCGAGTCGGTGGTGTCGGTGGCTGATATACGTTCGCGTGGCGGTAGCGTGGCGTCGCACCAGTCGCGCTCGCGGCCTCGGCTGCACTCGTCGCACGCCATGCACTCCGTGCACTCCACGCACGCCACGCGTTCTTCACCAGCGCCGCACGACTACGGCTCCGCTGACAACGTCATCGCCACCGTACGCCTTCTCGTCGCACTCGAAGACTATCTCGGAAGCCTCGGGCCCAAGATCATCGACCTGCTCACCGAAGCACTCAAGATGGAGAAGGTAACTTATGTAATTTATATATAATAAAAAATAACTACCTTAAATATAGTTATCAGTTCTCACTAAAACTTGAGAAACAGTTAACCAATCAAGTTGTCTCTTTGAGGTGTCAGTGTGCGCACGCATCGCAACAACTTCATGTTGTCGTTTTTAGCTGTCAGTATGCGCGTCGATAAAAATTCACTCATAGTTTTTCCCAAAAGAAGTATAACTTCAAAATATATGTATGAAAGTTTAACATGTCGGCACGCCGAGGTTGCTCGCAACATCAAAGGACTGTTGAACTTCTTCAGGGAGATTTCATGGCTCGAATAATTATAATATTGCCGACACGCAAAATACGCGCTTAGACGTGAAGTTGCGGGAAATAGCCCGTCATAAGCTAACTAACTAACTACACATATGTATTAAAATTATCACATTGATATAATAGTTGCCAATGTAAAATAGCTATTTGATGCTGCTGTGTTTCCTATAGTTAAAGACAAAAACTAGAGACCCTTTTTATTCATAACTAGCAACCCGCCCTGACTTCGACTAGAATCTATTTATGTGCCGTTATTTAGATTTAAGATAATCATCAAAGATAATTTACTTTTTGGATTTTTCAAAAAAATAAATTGTTTTCGGATTAATTTAACCTAGATCACTCCTGGCAATTGCTCTCTATGTGTTTGTATAGTTTCACTACAATCAATTCATCCATTCCTAAGACTAGCCCGGATAGATGACTGACAGGACAGGTAGACAAAAAAAAATTAAGAATATTATTCATATCTTAAAAGCATGTAAATAGCGCCCTTAAGGCAGTTTTCGATGTTAAAGACAGACACTTCAATTTTATTTATATGTATAGGTGAAGGACATGGACCTCTTTTGATTGATTGGCTATAATGAAAATGTCACTTAGATTTATGAACGTTACGTTGCAGGAAAAAGCGAACTCGTCAGAGGAACTACTTGAGCGCGAAAATGTGGTGGCTTTACTGGAGACCGCTAAGGAGAAACTGAAGGGTGCAGTGCAAGCGGGGCTGGTTTCTGGCAGCGCGGCCAACGCGGTCCGTGCGGCCGTCGTCCGCGTGGCCGCCACGCTGCACGAGGCCGACTTGCGCACGAAGAGAGCGCAGGTACGCTCGGAAGCCGGCGCTGCAACCGCTGCCAGTGTTGCCACCGCTGCCAGCGGTGCAACCGGTGCCGCGCCCGGCGTGGGGCCGCGCCGCAAGCGCTGTCGTACGCGTCGTCGCCCCCGACGAGGGCCCAACTCAAATATTCACGTAAATTCACATTAATGGACTCGCTTTAGCGGGAAAGATACAATTTACGACCATAGGATTTTTTTTGTATATAGATATACAATACAAACGTATAGTCATTTTCTTTTAAATATGTATTGAATACTGTTTACTTTACTGTTTTTGTAAATTGGATCATTTTTGCCAAGTTACGTCCATTTGAGAATTCTAAAAGTGAAAAAAAATTGGCTGTATTCAAGGCTTGCACCAGCCATTGCTGTTGCTGTTCGCGCTGCTGTATCTACTTTACCAAATTATGTAATTCTGTGGAAGAATCAAAGGCAGTGAATGTTTACATATCATATACATAATGTTCATCTCAGTCATATTGTTATGTAGCATATACGGTTTGCCATTTCAGCTTATATCTATATATCCTCAGCCCAGTCAATCAAAAAATGTTATTATCAAATATCAATATAAACATGAGGTAAAACAAGTTTTTCTGAAGGTTTATTTGTGAAGTGTGTATAGTAAAACGCACACCAGAATTCCACCTTCAGGCTAAAGAAAGCATAACTAAGACATTTACACTTGCGCTCCTCCTTTTAACTTCCGCCTGAGAAACCGCCAATTTTAGAACAGTACGGTAACGCGAGCAGTAGGGGCAGCGTGATCCGTTTTTATACTTGAGTAAGAATGAGCTGAAAATGAATGTGGTATTAATTATGTTCGTTTATTTTTTCTATTTTGATACCATTAACTTAAGTAATATTTTCTCATCAACTATTACACATTCCATCGCTGGAAATGGGCCTCTACAATAGTTAGGAGATTTTACAATTTTTGCAACACTTGACACTTTTTTATTCCCTTGAAATGTATAAAGTGACCATACGTCCCGTTTTGAACGGGACTATCCCTTTTCTCGGTCATCCGTCCCGTTGTCCCCAAACAAAGCTCCAGGACGCAAAATAGTCTCGTTTTCCGAAATAGCGCAAAAATTTAAAACTAGCTAGAAACGGTGCCAGAGCGAGACGGATAAAAAAATAACGTAATTGGGTAATTTAAAGTTTCTTCAGAAACACGTTGGGTGGAAGTATTCAAACATTTTCGCACCAACAATATTGTTTTACGTCGTAGAGCCATGCTTCAGCTATATTAGTAGTATAGTTGTGACCCGAATGGGTCAGCTCGACCAGGGAAGGACCACGCTCTCACAGAATATCAGCGTAAAATAGCATCTTAACACTGCTGTATTTCGTATAGTGAGTGTAGAGAACCGGAGACTCTTTTTACTGGAAAAGAGGCATTCTGTCTTAGTCATCACGGGTGACAACGTATCTGCATTTTGATGCTTTATTGAGGATAAATGTAGATGTTTTTATGGGTACAGCAAATACTTACCATCAGGTAGACTGTGTGCTCGTTTGTCACCCTATTCTATAAAAAAATCTTCAACATATTTTTTTTATGTCTACAACTCGTACAAATCCGGTAGAAAGAGTTTTTTCTATAATAAAGAAATTGTGGACATTTGAAAAGATTACTTACTGGTTCCAGTTCTAAAGGCGATGTTGATAACAAAGGTTAATAAAAAAACATGCCCAGAATTAAAAAAAATGGTCAGTTTATACATATATGCAGTATATAAGTAAATCTTAGGCAGACAAATTCTTCCATAAATCTGTTTGAAAGGAGGCGTTTGTCTTCCAGTGGAATGTGTTATTGGTTGTAAGTTTCATTCATTCTTTCATAATACTTTTCAAAAGTTTACTGCTAAAAACAGGTATTCCCTATAGATTTATTAATGGGGGAGGGGGGGGGGCGGGTTATATTTGGTTTCTTTTTCTTTGTCATCATAATGTCAACTTATAGAAAATATAATAATATAATAAAAGAATTCGTTTTGCCAAGTCGCCTGTCCAGCGTAGGAACTATGCCAAATATGTCCCTTGTAAGACAATCTATGGGGGAAGTCTTTTCACCAGTGGTGCGTAGCGGTTGATACAAATAATATAGTATATTTGTGCGTGTTGCAGAAGAGTAGCGGCGTGGCGAAGAGTGGTGGCGGTGTTGCCGGCGCGGGCGGTGGGGGGCAGGCGGCGGTGCCGGTGGCGGGCGTGGGCGCGGTGGAGCGCGCGGAGATCGCGGCGCAGATGGCGGCCGCGCTCGTCGCCGAGGGACGCACCGACGTCTCGCCCGAAGAGCTGGCGCAGCTCGTCGACGCCGTCGTCAGTACCGCACTGCGCACACATATTACATCCCATACAAAACATTCATGTCACAACAAAAACATTTACTGTCTTTACTATACTCAAACCTTTTATGCTCGTACGTGCTAGTCACGCTGTAACTATATCAAGGTTGCATGAATGGGTCAACTCGACTGCAAAAGAACAGACTACCAGCAAAAAATAGCAACGAACCGATGACCAAGACCCTTTATACTGAAACCGAGGCATTGCATTATAGTCCTCACGGATGACAATACATTTTGATTCTTAATCGAGGATAAATGTAGATGTCTATATACCACACAATCCACTTACTAACAGGTAGTCTGTACGCTTGTTTGTCACCCCTATTTATACAATTACGATTTTACACAACTAACACAAATCTAAAGACACACATATTATGTTAAAATCCATCAAGATGTCTGTCTTTCTACTAGCAGTCCATATGGGTAGAGGCGGAAAAAGAATTTCCAGGACTCCTTTTCTGTATATATGTATCTCCCACTTATTAGCATTCCTACAAGCCAATTCACAATTATAAAAGAATATCAACAATCTTAGGGCTAATATTCCACCATAGCCTAGCATAATTAAATTTGCTCAGAAAGAGAGCTGTGTTTTGAATCTATGTTTGATTATCGTATTGTTATGACCTGTAATATTAACAGAACAATTTTTCCAGCAAAAAAAAACATCTTTTAAAAAAGATAGTGATGATACACAAATATGACATTCAAATTATTAGCTATATATTTTGTATTATTTTGTGAAGTTTATTTCTTTAACAATCCCTATTTTTTAGGTTGGAATGGCTGAAGCAAAGAAACGTGAAGCGCAAGCTAAGAAACAGGCTGAAATCTTAACTCCAGCTCCCATTTCAGCTAAACCAAAGCCTACAGTATCTACGGCATCTGCTCTGCAAATGCTACAATCCGCTTATGATGACAAAAAGTAAGTAATTTTTTTTTAATAATTTATAGTAAGGATGGTACGGAAGAGGTTATATCGGAACCGAATTCGGAAGCGGAGTTTTAAAATGTTGTTTGTCGGAACCGGAACCGGAATCGGAGGTGGAGGCAGAAGAGATGTGTTAAGGGCAGGTCTATTGCACTGTATTTTTCTTTTCAGTTTCAAATTTTTTGAATACTTCGAATTCAGTGGCATGCACAAACTTTAAATAACTTTTAACGAAGTAGTTGTAGCCCCTTTCATGGATATATCTTTTCACATAGTTTACACTTTGCCGTATTCCCACAAACTTCATAGAAATAATTCCAAATGACACTTGATTTTCGCTTCATTGTCCAATTCAAATAAATTTGTTACACGTCAAATAACACACTACTAAAACTAATCAAAAACTGTGATAAGTATAAATGAAGCGCAAACGCACAACATGCCAATTGCCAAATACGAAACAAAACATCAAGTTAAAGAGTAATCGACAGAAGGCCCGGGGGAGGGAGGTTTCCGGGGCGAAAGTATAAACTTGTTTGTATACGCTGATCGCGGCCGCCGCCGCCACTGTGCATAGACCTCCGATATATAACTTTTGATTAAAATTTAACGGAACCGAAATCGCAACCGAAGGTGCAAAATCAATCGGAAGTTCCGAACTTTCGGAATCGGAATCGAACCTCCGTAACATCTCTAATTTATAGGTATATAAAAATAGCTATCACCCTTATCTTTTAGTTGCTACTTCAACTTTTACATAATTGACTAGTAAATATTATGATTAATGGTAATAGGAAAGTCTATTTAAGTTGAGAGATTTGTCACTATTGCTTTAGCATCATAATACCACCTTTGCACCAACAGATTTTAATTTAATGTATTTTAAGTATTATAATATTTTTGAAATAGTTGCTGTTTGTTATCAATACCTGTCGTTGGTGATAACTAACTAGATTTAATTACATTCTGTTAATTAAATCATTATATTAAGTCCTTCATTCCCTCACCGCTTGTTGTCCCATGGGTGTAGTAAAAATCAGTCGCGAATCAGCGTCAAAGGTGCGAGACGTCTGACTCCACGATTGTAATAATTCCGCCTGCCAAGAATCCCGAGGCAATGATTATGGGTCAATGAAGATGACTTAATTTCATTTATCTTTTACAGCGCACCTGTACAAAAAGAAGACGCTACAGATGCTATGGACGGGCTATCGGACTCGGACTTGGAGACTTTGCTGAAGAATTTCAATGAATTGTCAGCGGAAGAGCAGCACAGCCTTATCGCGTACCTCAAGAAGTTGGAGGTGCGCGAGCCTCAGCGAGTTGAGAAGCTGAGACAATTCGTGAGTGCGGCCGCCGTAAACGCTTATCCTCAGAAAGAACAAGAAAACAACGAGCCTGTCCCCATCGAGAGCGACGATGACGATTACACCGTTGAAGAAGTAAGTTATTTTTTTAATGCCAAAAATACTCATTACTTTCTTTAAACGTTTTAAGACAGTACAAGTAGTATAATGTAATCTTTAAAATAGTGAATAGAAAGAAACCCTGGATATGTTTTTTTTTTTTTTACGTAATTTTGCCACATCTAATTTACTAGTGATTTCTTATAAATAATTAACTTTTATTTTAATATTGTATTGTAATGAAACCGTGTGGTAGCGGTGTAAGAATATCCACTGCCCCATATCGTTCCGTTAACGTTGCGTGTCGTTAACAGGCGACCGAGGGAAAATGAAACAGATGTGGAGTAGCAATTTCCTGATAAAAATTCAAAATAATAAAAACTGTGGTTGTCGCCAAGCGTGGAAATTATCACAAAATTCCCTATGATGGAATTTATGGGGGAGGCCTATGTTTAGTAGTGGACTTTTATATTCTGTGGTGGATGGGACGAATTGGATAAAGGAATTCTTATTGTTATCGGCAAAAATTCTTGTTTTCGGCAAATTTCATAGGAATTTTGCTAAACCCACATGTGCGTATTTCGAAATAAACTTCCATAATCATTTTCGTATAGTAAATAGTAATCACTACGTAAACCTTAAAGAAATGTATGGGAAAATACGACGAGACCTTCAAGAGCCTCGAAATTATTTTTCACGTTTCAAAACGGATTTCAGTGGAAATATCAGAGTAACCAACATAACCCAAAGCTCAAAGGATTACTTATTTTAACCTGCAATAATGGCATTTAGGCCATATTACCTCTTAAAATTAACAACCGATTTGGAAGAAGGTGGCAGTCTAGTACTAGAAGCTTGATTTAAACAATCATACCCACCATACCACCATACGTATGGCGTTTGGACATCAATGGATACATAGTCGGATAGCGTCGAGGAAATATCTTTAGTTACTTACATAATTTAATAACTTCAGATTGCCTCGGAGAAATATCTTTACATACTTACATCAAAAGTTAATAACATCAGATTGCATTAAGGAAATATCTTCAGTCACTCGCATCTAAGTTACTTACACTTATTTTTAACATCCCAATACAATAACGTTACTGTTTAGTGCAAATGTTAGTAAACTATGTTATATTTGTTTTTTCTCTGCAGGTGTTCAAGTCTGCAACACAGAAGGTGAAAGAAAACCAAATCCAGCAGGAAATGGAAATCGTTAAAAAGTCATTAGAAGAAACAAAGACAGTTGAAGAAGATCCAGTAATAGAAGTAGAACCCATGAAAGTAGACCCAAGTATAAACATTATGAAAAATATATCATCAGCCGCCGACCTTTTAGCGTTGGTTCAAGCTTCGATACAATCAACTTCGCAGTCAAAGCCAGCTCAAATTAGCCAGACGGCAGAAGTAGTTACTAGCACCAGTCTACCCAGGTCCTTTGGAGATATGCCAGACCCGCCCGCTATGAATGTGGAACCTATAAAACCTCTTATATCCAATATGGCACCGAATCAAATGGCACAAGAACAACCTGCCGTATTTGAAAACCAGCAAGCAATATACAACAACCAAGGTGGATTGCTCCGTACACCTCAGAACCAAACTAACTTTGGAGATATTAGAAACAATCCTAATGAGACATACAATCAGAATATGAACCAGAACATGCAAAATCACGATAGAATCTCTGTAATGCATAACAGACCGCCTTTAATATCAGATAATATGCGGCCTTTAATTTCTGACAATAGGCAGCCGCCAGTAACGGATAATTTACGGCCTCTACTGGCCGGCAACAGGCAGTATCCAATGACGGATAACAGAAGACCGTTATTAGGTGATAATAGGCAGCCACAAATTTCAGAAAATATACGACCTTTAATGGGCGACAATAGACAGCCGCAAAGATCAGATAATAGAGGGCCATTAATGGGTGACAATAGGCAATCTCAAATGTCTGACAATATACGGCCTTTAATGGGCGACAATAGGCAGCCGCAAATGTCGGATAACAGACGGCCTGTAATCGGTGACAATAGGCAACCTCAAATGACAGAAAATATAAGACCTTTAATGGGCGACAATAGGCAGCAACCACAAATGTCAGATAATAGAGGGCCTTTAATGGGTGACAATAGGCAACCTCAAATTTCTGACAATATACGACCTTTAATGGGCGACAATAGGCAGCCGCAAATGTCAGGAAATATACGATCATTACTACCTGACAATAGGCAGCCTTTCATGTCAGACAATAGAACGCCTTTAATGGCAGACAACAGACAGCCTTTAATGGCCGACAATAGACAGCCTTTTATGACTGATAATACACAGCCATTGATGTCAGATAACAGGCAACCGACAATGACAGATAACAGACAAAATTTAATGACAGAGAATAGGCAACCTTTTGTGGGTGATAATAGAGGAGAACCAATGAGAACAGGCTACGATAATTATAACCAGGGAAATTCGTATAATCAAGGGGCACAAAACAATTTCAGGAACGGTCGTGTGCAGGATAATTACAATCCACATGCGAATGAAATGAACCAGCAACAACAGTATTCTAACTACAATCAGAACTCGAATGCAAACTTTCGAGGCCGAGGCAGAGGACACTACGGCGGTGGGAGAGGCCGTGGTAGGGGAAGAAAGTAACAGTTTTATATTTACTGAAATACTTTATACATATGAAGTAGTTAAGTTACTTGATACAGTCACCGTGTGGTCACTTTCAAATGTAATTTTAAGGTTCTAAATAAATAATGCAGTTTAAAAGAATCTTTTTAATTATATATCGCCTCAGATCTACGTAATATTTTTGCTGTTTATTGGCGGCATAATCTCATAATAAATAATCGGCTTATCTCATCTCATGGGTCTTATCTTACGATAGACTGCTAGCCCTGAGACAGTAAATTAGATTTCATTGAAAAAATATACATACCAAGGATACATTTATTAAACAGTTTGGAAAATCCACAAGTGCACACCTCATGAGCGTTTCATTTAATATTGATGAAAAAAATAAATTGTATTCCTGAGTTTTAAAATATATTATTTACGTGTTTTAAGTTTAGCGCTCTATTATTTTAACAGGTAGTGTTACCTACAGGTGAAAAAATGTTTACCAAAATAAATCGATTACACAAAGTATAAAATCGATATACGCTGTATAACATTTGTCTTTCGTCTATCAAGGGCTAAAAAAATATGAAAGCGTCTTTAAATTTTTAATAGCAATAAAACTTATAAAAGTTAAAAACCATTTTATTAACAAACTACGCGTATAGTATACGGCAACTAACTTGGCAAGGTTTTGGCGTAGTGGGGGAAAGTTTGCGCATGTACAACGGGACGTACCAATCGCGCGCTCGGAAGTAGACTGGCCAACCAATCGCGCGCTCTGAAGTCTTCTGGCCAACCAATCGGGCGCTCGGAACGCGATACTACTTCGTTCCCGCGCCCCGCTTGATAACCAAAGAGATCTAAAAACGACATCTGCACATATAACGAATCTTGCCAAGTTAGACGCTGGCAACTATACTAGGCTATTGAAGTGAAATAGAGAACCAGTACATGCAATTCTGAAGCTAATAAAAAAAGCCTAAATAAAAAAATTACTGGGAAACGTAATAGTCCAGGGCCTAAGCACTTGTTAGTAATTTCAGTGCACGTCGGCAACACGGTTTCGATACCCGCCGACCGAAATAAAATTGTTATTTCAAGTGCTGATTTACAACATGCTCGATGTTAAAGGAAAACTGGTAAACGAGAGGTTGAGGCATGAGAAATATCTGAAGTCTGTTAACGTGCACTGCAGCGTCGCAACAAATAATTACTCCATACTTGTCTTAACCAATTATTGAAGCTCTAATTTCTAAAAGGATACTCTATAGCTGGGGGGAGCCTATGTTCAGAAGTGGGCTTCATCTCTTGCGACTCTCACTGCTCGGCCATTCACTTACTATCTAATGGAAAAAGTTTGTAAGAGTTGTTGTAAGGGTATAAAAAAAGTCAACCTGCCAATTTAAGTAGCGAATGGTTTTATGATAGCTCAATATTTCTTAAAAAATAGTGACTACGGCAGCAGGGTAAGCATTAACTTATCCACAACATTCTACAACGGCTTGTGCCGTGCCGTATTCTACAACGGAAGTGCAGCCCCTTCGCCCTTGCGTAGCGAATCATGGGCACCCATGCTCACCTTCGGCTTATTGGACCAGCCTCAGCCGCTACAGCTCGCACAGGTGCCTGCGACTTGCTACGGCGGGCGGGGGTTGCTCTCCCTCCGCGCCTACGGCTTTACGAAAACACTAGGAGTAGGGCAGACAAGACTACGTGAAGTCGGGGCGTGCTGATTCAATTTTAGTACAGATTCGATCAGATCAGATATCTTATCTATAAAGTCGGGTTGCCTTCGCTCCCGCCACAACCTATCTAACCTATTAGAACTGAAAGTAAAGTCTGAGTGTTCAAGTATTTCTGGGCAGTTTTAAACAATTCAGAAATAAAACACAATATACTCGTATTATAATAGTAAGTAGTAGTAAGTAACTTTGGATCAATATTCATGTGTAAAAAAGTGAGGTTTACTCGATTTATCATGAAAAACTGCATTAAAAATCTAAAACTTCAAACTCGTAAAAAATTTCAGGGGCATTTGCGCCAAAATCCCTTTTGGGTTTTTCATCATTTATGTTGGTAAATATGTAAAAAAAAATTTGGCCCAAATCGGAGGTATCCCTAGAACGGAATTCTACCCGAAAAGTTTAGTAAGAACTAAACGTGTGTGAAGGAGACGCAACATTAAATCTTCACTCAGAATTTTCTAAATAATTTCTGCTTTTTTATTTTAGGTTTTTCTACAAATGGTTGTACAGGTTTTCATTTAACTGTGAAAATGTGTGTGTGTGTGTGTGTGTGTGTGTGTGTGTGTGTGTGTGTGTGTGTGCGTGTGCGTGTGCGTGTGCGTGTGCGTGTGCGTGCGCGTGCGCGTGCGCGTGCGTGTGCGTGTGCGTGCGCGCGCGCCGATCGTGTGTGTGTGTGTGTGAAACTTGTGACGCATTACTTTCTTAAATTTCAGCAGTCTTCGTACTCGTTTATTCTTAACATTGACATTCAATGTTATTTTCAACTTAAAAACATAAATGAATTTATTTTTTAAGCGAAAACTTATCTGTCTAAATTTGTTGTTTATTTGCTATATTTATTGAAATTAGTTGTCCAGGTTCTTAGCATAGCTAGAATGACATATTTCACACATTCTTTAAATGCGGGTCTCAAGTTTGGTAGTCTTGCCTGTCTTGCATTTGTGTGGCTTCACAACATTTTTTATTGATTTTTTTTATGAATATGTCACAAATAGCTAGTTACTGTAGGTTGAACATCCCTGTATTTTATGTAGAAGAATCGATTATAATAAAATTAATTAAATTTAAACAGAATGCGGAAGTTTTTGGTCCAATAAAAGATGCTTTCTTCACATAGATCATCTACTTTTTTCTGACATTTGGCTAGTATGGGACCATAAAAAACAATTTATTATGTGGTTTTCTGTCGTACTCGGGAACGACACAATGCTTATAATGTGCCATTTTTAATCAAAAATAATAAATTCAGCGATGAGTGACCAGCTCGAAATAGCGAACGATGTAGTAAGCTCCCAAAACGCGGCGAGAGATTTTACGATAGGAAAAAGAGAAAACAGTTTTTCTCGAAATTTTCTTTAGTGTAACAAGCACATAACAAAAATCGTAGGCCTTGTCAATTATCATTAACTTTGATCATCGAGATAAGTGGTAATTAGCTAAATTAGTCGATTTAATGTGTTTTTGGAAGTCATATTGATCTTTATTGATACTTTAAATTTTATTACATAATTCCAGGGGCAATTTTTAAGTACATACTTTTGATAGTATAGGTTACCAGGGTAATTGGGCGATAATAGCTAAGGACATTTCCATTGCCTGATTCCATTCTGATAAGTTTTCTGAGAAGAATGAAATTTAATGCATGATTTCACATTTTTTGTATTTATGCCATCTCACGTCGTCCAGTCTCTGATATTTGGAAATCGGGCTACATTACTCCATTTCACGAAAAGGGCTCTAAATCTGAGGTCTATAACTACAGGCCTATTGCCTGTAATGTATACTAAGTAGTCTTTGAATAATGGTACATTCTCAAGTAAACTTAGTTATTTAGTCAATAATTTCAGAACTCAGTACGGTTTCCCCCTCTGTAGACAAATTTTGTTTTACTCAATGACTTCATTGCTGAATCCATGGGTAAAGGCCAACAAAACAATGACATTTATACGGATTACAGTCGCCTTATATACTAAGCTTGAATGTGTTGGTATAAGAAGAGCCCTACTTCGTTAGTTCTCTTCGTTTATTGAGAACAGAACACAAGCTGTAGGATTAAACAATTACATTTCTAGCTGGGTTAAGGTCTCCGTCGGAGTTCCCTAAGGTACGTTGCTAGCACCATTACTTTTTTCGATCTGTCATCTGTCAACAAAAAAAATATTTGTTTCTTAAAAGGCACAGAAGCGTTACAAAATGATTTCACTAATTTACTCGATTAGTGCACTTCAAAACATCTTGATCTCAACCCTCTTTTTAGAGTATAAGTAAGTCACTGTACGATTATCAGATTTGATTGGTTGATAATTCACAAAGTAATTTTTTTTACGTGGTAGAGCCATGCTGCAGCTATATTAGTGGTCGGCTCGACCGGGGAAGGACCACGCGCTCACAGAATACCAGCGTAAAATGGCAGCTTGGCACTGCTGTGTTTCGTATGGTGAGTGTAGAGAACCGGAGACCCATTTTACTGGAAAAGAGGCATTCCATCTTAGTCCACACGGGTGACGACGCATCTGCATTTTGATTCTTTATTGAGGTAGACTGTGTGCTCGTTTGTCACCCTATCCTATAAAAAAATATTAGAAATATTTCATATTATTTAGATTAGAAAAAAAAGAACCAAACTACAAAAATTTGTAAAAGTAGAAAAATAAAAAATGTATAAAAATATGCAGAAATGAAAGAGCAAACTGAGGCATTGTTTGTGTATTTATATAATACTCTGGAAAGTGATAAACTTTTATTTAAAACTAACTTCTTAATTAAATTGCATTCTTGTACATTAGTGTACAATGTCTAACAAAACTCAGTCACCTAGAGACATCTGGTGAGTGGAAGATTACTAGCCCATATTAAGTAATGTGACATTAAAAAACCGCTAGCTTTACCCAAGCCGCTTTATAGTGTATAAATATTTAATTAGTTACTTCCTATATAAGTAATTGTTATTTATGTGTAATTATAACCCAAAACTTAGCCTAAAGCCGGTTTTGTAGTTACTGCTTTTAAGAAAATAAACTACAAAAACTTACAAAAAATGGTTAATCTTTTAAGAGAATGGGAATGAGTTTCACATAAAGTAAGTCTTTTGAAGCATTCGATGGATCAGATTTTATAACATAAATTTTATAACTTGAAATTAATTAGCAGCTACTAAGTAGGTACGCAGAGCTCATTGGCAGCTACGCAAATTTTTAGTTTAGTCGAACGATATAATTAAAACTGTGTATTTATTATTGAACGTACAAAAATATAATTATACAAGTACAACTTTTTCTTTTGAGTATAAATGAACGAAAAACAGATTAGGTATATGTATTTTTTTTAAATATTGATAAAAATTTGGATTTATGTAATACATATTCTTGAAAAATACTTTCTATATCTATAGTGAAAACTT